AATAAAAAAGTCATTCTTGGTTTTCTGACACAGTAGTTCTCTAGTGACCAAAGGGAAAAGGAAGTAACACTTAGCTCTATTTCCAGGGAAACATTTTAATTAAGAGAGCAACTTGAGCAACYGCTTCTGCTCTAATAGGGAAGGAGACAAAAACCTTCATACTTCAGTGCCATTTAACAAGATCTTCATTACAACCATTTGCACCACTGCACTGTGCTGGCTCTGCAGGTGACACAAGTGGATGAGACTGGACACAACTCTGGTGAGTTCAAGGGATTCAAATCTAGGATTTCCTTTTACAGATGGACGAGTCCTCCTTAGAGAAGCAATAAGCCTGAGGTCACATACCAGAGTTAGGAATGGTAGGACAAAATCTAGCTTTCCCAACAGACACATTTCTAATCATGACATCATGCTTCCTAGTGCTGCCCATGGTCTTACAGATTTCCTGCAAAAATGATGACTTTGTAATGGAGAGAATTACATTAATWAAGACTAAGTAACAAACACAGACATGCATCACATAACTAACAGGACCCATTCTGAGAACTGTCATCATCAGAYTGTCATGTTGTGCAAAAAGCACAGAGTGTTCTGACTGAAACCTAGCTGAGGGAGGCCTGTCAAGGCATGGTCAACACAAGATGGGTGAAGCTGCTGCAGATGTAGCACGGCATGCTGTTTTACAGTACACTTCTTTTCCCCACAAGGGAAAAGAGTACACTCTAAAATAACAATTAAACCTCTAGCATACTAAATACATAAATCAATGTCATTTATTATTATTATCAAGTATGATGTWCTGCACAGTTGTTTGTTCTGTATTTTTATAAAACTAGCAACACAATAGGTTTTTTCGTACCAGCATCACCACAAACATATAAATAATAAATAACAGGTCACACTGTGACTTTATGACTGCTATATCATCATGAGACCATAGGAACTGTTCAGTTCCATTATAATAGACCACCATAAATGTGACCCATCATTGACTGAMATGTTCAGATGTGGTGTATGATGGCATTTAATATTATCCGTCACTCCAAYAGTATAGATCATATGRCCCAAGTGACAAAGCAGCAACTCTYTGYCTGCTSTGTGGGACTTRAGACCATGTAGACTAGAATGAATTTTCATAAAACTAATTCATCCTGGGTACAATGCTGTCTGCTCAGTTGTCCCATGATCTGCAACCATACAGAATAAGTAAAAAGGTCTACACTTTTATCCCTACCTGTAAAATCCAAGAAATTATTAAGCAAGAACCAGTGAAATCTGCTTATTCTTTCAAAATTCTCATTATCCTCAGAACACACAAGGAAAGTACATCTTCTCACCACAACTCTTCCTAGGCCCCATTTGCTGAGAAGAGTCACTCCATACTTCTACTACATTGACGGTATCTCTTGTTGAATTGTTTCTTAAGCTATTTCCTTCTATTTCCCATTGCAAGACAAGACCTTCCAAAGCAGACACATCATGCTTTGTTGTATGGAAAAAATATAGCACAGTATGTGACACTGTAGAAATATAATGCTATTATAATGATGTTAACATGGAATGGTATATTATGTAATCATAAAGAAGAAATTCATGGGCTCTTCCATTGAACCACATCCCCAGCCCTTTTTATTTTTTATTTTGAGGATCTGGCTAAGTTGCTTAGAGCCTTGATAAGTGGTTGAAGCTGGCTTTGAACTTTCCATCTTCCTGCCTTAGCCTCCAGAGTTGCTGAGATTACAGGTGTGCACCACCACACCCAGCAATCTCTGTTTTTTAAATGGTAACTATAGCTCATTCAGTGTATTGTGATATTGATAAATTGGGATGTTTCTGTTATTTTTTATATTCTATTCTATTCTTAAGACTTTTTTCCCACCTATTTTTAGGATTTGTTGATGTTTCCTTTTTTTWAAATTTTTTTCAGTGCATTTTTTCATTTTTTTTTTTTTTGGTGTGGATATCATGCCCTCTATATCTACTGTTTTAGTGATTGCCCTAAAAATATTCTCTAAATACTTGAGCTTAAAAAATCTAAATTGAATATTTTAACCCCCTTCCTGAAAAATACTCTCTATACTTACATAGTGTTGCCCAATATTTTGTGTTCCTTTTTTAAATCTCCACAAATTAAACATCATCATAATTAWTTTTTTTTTACAGACAATGTTCACTTAGGTTTACTTACATAATTACCATTTTCTGGGCTCTCCAAACCTTTGTATGGTTTTTTATTGTTTTTTTAAAAAAATAAATGACAGAAGAATGCATTACAATTCTTATTATACATATACAGCACAATTTTTCATATCTCTGGTTGTACATAAAGTATGTTGACACCAATTCGTAGCTTCATATATGTACTTTGGATAATGATGTCTATCTATCACATTTCACCATCCTTGCTAGTCCCCTGCCCCTCCCTTTCCCTCCCACCCCTCTGCCCTATCTAGAATTCATCCAAGCCTCCCATACTCCCCCTCCCTACCCTACTATGAGTTAGCCTCCTTATATCAGAGAAAACATTCTGCATTTGTTTTTTTTGGGATTGGCTAACTTCACTTAGCATTATTTTCTCTAATGCCATCCATTTACCTGTAAATGCCATGATTTTGTTCTCTTTTATTGCTGAGTAAAATTTCATTGTGTATATATGCCACATTTTTTTTTATCCATTCATCCACTGAAGGGCATCTAGGTTGGCTCCATAGTTTAGCTATTGTGAATTGTGCTGCTATAAACATTGATGTGGCTGTGTCCCTGTAGTATGCTGATTTTAAGTCCTTTGGATATAGTCCAAGGAGAGAGATAGCTGGGCCAAATGGTGCTTCCATTCCCAGATCTTATTTCATAATCCCAAGGACCTTGGGACAACTATGCTGTGCTAATTTTATTGACAATTAATCTAAGAATAAGAGAATTGTACCATTTTCCACATCTTGACCCTGGGGAAAATGGCGATTTCTCCTTAGACCCTCTCCTCAACCAGCCATCAGCTTCACCCCAGGAGAAGCCTCCATCAAATCCTGGCCTGATTACCGTGGCCTGAGTAGGTGTGCATCTGCTGGACTTAAGGCCTAAGACTTGAGACTCTAGATCTGGCACTTTAGCTTAACTTTTTTGTAGTTGCTTGTTTTGGGAATGTCTGCAATGAGCCTGTCATGTTAAGTGTGTTTGCAGGGGTTAGAGTTAACTTAGAATTGTTTGCTTTAGATTGATTATGTCTATTGCAGTACCTAGCGTTAAGGATTCCCATTTTCTTGATTAAGAACCTATAGAGTGAAATTGTATTGAGTGATTTGTGTGAATAAAGCATTGAAAAGGGAAAATAAAAGAAATTCATAGGCTTTTTAAAATTTGATATAGTTGATATAGAGTCATTATCTGAAATTCCTAAACTATCTAGGACCCTGATAAATTTAATATACTAAAAGAATTACATAAAATTGGCTCCAGCCCTGGCCTGAGCATCTCTCCCTAGCACAGACATGGAATAATGGTTGGGGGCAGAGTTCTCTTGACAGCAGAGATAACTCATGTTCATAACCTATTATCTAAATAATTGCCATTCCATTATGAGAGTCTAGACTTTTTGCAAATACTCTTTCAAAATACTCTTTCAAAACCATATTTCCAAGATTAAAAAAAAAGTTGTAAATAACATTCAGCATATGCAAAGATAAATGTAGTTCCTGGGGTAAGTAGTAAGGACGGAAAGCTTCCAAGTAACTTAACTGTGACCTCACATAGCRCTATGAAAACTAAAGACACTATAATTTCTATAGTGACTTGTGGGACAGAAACAGGGAACTTGTAAAAGTGAATTTGATCAAAAATGACTTATGATCATATGATCACATGGCACTTTTAAGTATTTAAGTTGTTAATGCTATTTGAAGCATAGAAATTGACAGAACTGGTATCTCCTTTTCTGTGTGTGACAGTAAGATCAAGTCATTCCCAAGTCCTTGGTAAAATGTCCCCTTTTGAGGTACCTACAGGGTCACAAGCCACATGAGACAAGAAAAGACCCCAAGAAAAGATCATTAGAAAAGAAACCAGACAAGGAAAAAAACCCCAGACACAATTGTTGAAGAAGAAATTGCAAATATTGATAATAATATATTCTGTGATAAACAGATTCAAGAAGTTAAAAATATAAAGGAGGGAAAGCAAGCAGAACCTCCCAATGCAGAAACTCCTGATGGGGAAACTCTTTTGGCCACTTCATCTCATCTTATTCTCCACAGGGTCAAATATAGCCTCATGCTGAGTTGGAAAACATCACTTACAAATGTTAACGAATACACCAGTTTGTATGTGCTATGTCTGCCTTTCTCAAGTACCAAATGCATGGACCCAAACAGATTAGCTTTTGTTCTCTGCATGTTCCTGGAACTGTTTCCCTTTGCCTAACCTGAAACTGCCCTCCTTTCTCATCTTGCTTGACTTGTTTTGTTGTTGTTGCTTGTTTTGTGTTTTGTTTTGGTTTGGTTTTGGTACCTGGGATTAAACTCTGGAGGGCTTAACCACAGAGCCCCATCCCCAGCCCCTTTTATTTCATTTGGAGACAGGGTCTTGCTAAATTGCTTAGGGCTCCRTAAGTTGCTGAGGCTACTTTGAACTCASAATCCTCTTGTCTCAGCCTCCGGCACTGCTGGAATTACAGATGTGTGCCACCGTGCCCAGCTGTCCTTGACTTTTAATATTAAAGTTTTATGAGTTCAGTACATTCATGATTCTAAATAATATTCCCTGTCTCCAAAGTATCCTCTAAAAGATGGACTCAATAATCCACATCTCACAACCAGAGTAACAGAAACAAACAAACAAACAAACAAACAAAAACTCACGCCAAAATAAATAGTAATCAACATAAGAAAATTTTATATAATCCAGTGTAATAATTATGTAATAATTATGTTTGACATATTTAAAGATTTCTTCCTGGTAGGACCGATGTATGGTAAATGAGATTCCGATTCATTTTAACTTACCTTTTGAATGACCTTATTAATCTCTGAAGTACTGGGTGTATACAGTATTTTTCCATGTAATATAGGCTTTAGGAAAGACCACACCAATGCACCATTTGGAGACTGGAGAATTTGTTGGTAAAGGCTCAAGCAAAATGGTGCTGTCACAATTAAGAGAAAAAATTAAAATGTTACATAACACGGATGCCCAGGTTAAGGGAAACATATTTATAATTCCACAAATACCTTCATTTCAACGAATGAAACAACTCTGAGCTTGAGAACAACTCTGAAAATGAGGATTAGTGAAGACAACAAAAATTATTAAAATGAATAGCCCTAATGTGTGCCCATACTAATTAATTACCCTAGTAATTTGACAGCTGTCCAAATTATCCATCAGYTAAGGAACATACTAACCTACTGCCTCTGAGAACAGTACATTTGACTCCTCTTCCTCTGTCTGCAAAYTTACATAATCCCATGTTCCCAGTTCTACCAGTACTCTGTCTTTAGTTACAATCTAGGCATAAAATACATAAAGACAAATTGTGGATGTGTAGGACAATTCTTACACAAGCCCTTGGATGGCTGCCTTATGTATTCTCCTGTTTTCCCATGAAGACAGAACCTATGAATGTGACAGCTTGGGAAGTAAACCAGGAATATTTTTTAACTCTCACCTTTTCAAACTAAGTGATCCATAGAATGATGGTACAGACACTTGAAAATGGAAATGGCAATTATTTTTTAAATGAGTTTTTAATCAAGAAAATTCTCATTTCAATAGTCACAATATTGAGACCTAAATTCACTTTTTCTTATGGAGTCAGCTTTACAAGTTGCTCCTGGATTTTCTTTCATGCATCTATGCAGACCTATCAAACTTGGGGCTTTTGATACATTAAATCATTTTATTTTCACTCAAATACTTAATTCCTCTTGGTGGTTCTCATTATTTTTGTAAGACTGGATGACTGCAATTAAAAGTTCTTAAATTAATTRTCTAAATCAATAGGTAATTCATTACAACAATTAGTAATCAAATATTATAAGGTTTTAAACTAACAATAAGTACATTAATATAACTAGTTCTTTTACCCACAAATAGAACACTTAAAATGGAAATTTATCTTAGCTTTAATATTATGATTCATAATATCAAGGTTTGAAAAGTACTGCTGTAATCCTATTCAGTGTTAATTTCACCTTTCCAACTTCACTTGAACAGAAAAAAAAATATTTTTATCCCAAATACAATAACATTAATAAAATAATATACTAAAATATAAATTAAGAGCAYGACTACATAATACATTTTAAAGCATTAACTATGGAGGTTGCTCTATATTTTATCAACTTACTCTTTTTGCATTGCAAGCAAAAATATGTGGTAGCAATTTATATGTTAGAAAAGACATGATCGTTTTATGTGCAGAACAAGAATAGACATAATCTTTTTATGTGCAGAACAAGGATTTTGAAACCAGGAAACCTGCCATCTGCCATCTGTGAGCTGAGTAAATTTAAGCAAGTCATTTAATGTTTTTAGATCTTCCAGCATGTCTTCTGAAGAATGAGAGTACTGGTGTTATCCAACAGTTCCTGTGACAATTATCTCAAATAAAGTATGAAAGGACCAACATAGAATGATCCTCAATGTTGTTAGCTAATGACTGGATGGCTGGCTGGCTGGCTGGCTGGATGATGGATGGATAGATGGATGGATGGGCAGAAAGACAGTTTAATTAGAGGGACACTCACCCTCAATAATCCCAAGCACAAAACAGATGAGAAAATGAGGATTAGTGAAGACAACAAAAATTATTAAAATGAATAGCCCTAATGTGTGCCCATACTAATTAATTACCCTGGTAATTTGATAGCTGTCCAAATTATCCATCAGCTAAGGAACATACTAGCCGACTATCTCTGAGGACAACACACTTGACTCCTCTTCCTCTATCTGCAAACTCACATAATCCCATGTTTCCAGTTCTACCAGTACTCTGTCTTTAGTTATAGTCTAGGCATAAAATACATAAAGACATATTGTGGATGTGTAGGACAATTCTTACACAAGCCCTTGGATGGCTGCCTTATGTATTCTCCTGTTTTCCCATGAAGAYAGAACCTATGAATGTGACAGGTGCCCCACTCAGAATGAGATTTCATAGCCAAAGAGAAGGAATATTGACGATGTAAATAAGAWCCCTTAAATTGCTGAGTTGGAGTTTATCTAAGGTCTAAGCAATCAGGTATCCTGTCTGAGCAATCCAATAAACTCTTTAAAAGAGACTGGAAGCCTCAGAGCCAAAGAGATACACCTGCTGGCCTTGACATTGCCTCCCCGAGTTCTATAGCTGCAAGGAAAATAATTCTACCAACAACTACCTAAGAGCCTCATGTGAGCGCCCAGCCCAGACCAACCAACTCCTTCATTACAACTGGGTGAGAGCCTGAGTAGAGGACTAGCCAACCAGTGGCTGGGTGCTGACCTACAGACACTATGAGATGATGAATGTTTGCAGTCTTAAACCACAAAGATGCATTTTTATACTATTGTGCTAAGTAGCTAAAACACATCATCTCCACTGCACCTTACAACAATCTTGTGAGGTAGGTCTATTGTTTCCATGTTGTATAAGAGAATAACATGGTTCAGGGGTAGAAAACAATGTGACCAAAGATGCACAACGGTGTAACTGGTGGGGGAAGCTGAACAGTTTAAGCCAACACCCTCCCCGGCATGTTTACTCTGCCTTTGTAATAAATGTATTCACTGGGCTGGGTGTATAGTTYAGCAGGAGAGCATTTGCCTAGCATGAGAGAGGCCCTGGGCTCAATTTCCAGGACTGCAAAAAATTAAACAAAAAATAAAATGCATGCCCCTAATGTGGGACTAAGGAAGTCACTCATCAATCTGCTTCCATTTGAAATGAAACTTTGTAGACAAGATCTGAAGGAGGCCACACAAAAGTTCTCTTTGTATAAGGCTGCCATTTTGCAGAAGCCAAAATGTTCAAAGTCTTCGCCAGTGGGACGCTCACCAAACCTACTGGTGACACAGGTGAGAGGCTCAGTTATGCTCAACAGTACTGGGACATTCCAAAGCCACCTGCTATGCCAGCACTTGGTGACTGCACTAAAACTGAAGGAGGAAATTCTACCACTGTTATGTACCATCAGCGTTTTGCACAGACAGAATATTCAGTATGATACAGGGCTAATTATTAATATACAATTTTACCTAAATAGATATTGATTACTACTGTCTTACTTGAATCCTCAGGAATGTTGAATTTTTCCTTGTCATCCTCCAAGAGCTCGTTAACTCTGGGCAAATTAAGGAACATGTTAGAATTGCTAAGGAATGATGCCTGGTCCTTGCAAACCAGTTTCATCACATTCTGCAAAGAACCAAAGGCTGAACTTCTAGCCTGGTCATTTTGGGAAACCTGAAAATTTAACAAAAAGAAATTGCAATTATACATTGACTTGAAACAATTCTCTGAAACACTTCTGAAAAAGTAGTCCCTTCTCCAGCTAAACATGTAAGTTCTTCAATGAGTTAAAAGAACAGAATCTCTACTTTTCTGTCTTTTCTGTCCTTGGGATATATTCAAATCATTGCAATGATTTGTCTGGCCAATGTACCTGGTAAAAGAGGAAAATTTCACCCACCAGTGAGTTCCTATTGTGTGTCCAGTAATAAATTATTAATCCATAAGATATCACTAACTCAGTGACAGCCTTAATGTGTATTTACACTGCCAAATTACCCCGATACTTGATAACTATCCACATTACGCATCAGCTAATGAAGATACATGCCTCCCAGGAAGCGTAAAGGACATTGTGATAGAGCTCCTCATTCTACACCTTCAACTCTACACAACCACCCACTCTTTGCTCATCTCTGGTCATTCCATCCCAGGCAAAGAGACTTAATGCAAAAACTAATATCAAACTGCTAATCTAATTCAAGCTTGTGTTTGCATTTTCAGAAAATGATCTGTAATTTGTTAGCCAATTATTTATATGTAAATAAATGTTTTAAGGTTCTTGAAAGCAATTTGCTCTCTGAATTAAGTTAAACAGGCCCTTGAAATCTCATTTGTGCTAATAATTGAGTTAGTAATTTTGTACTTCATAGACAATGCATGAGCTCTCCCAACCTCCATAATGGTGGGCTGTGGATCAACAGCAACTCTGTCATCTGGTTTTTAGGGAGATGCCAACCCTCACTCCATTATGTTGTTGCCTCCAGAGACATCAAGAGACACTCTCATCCCTATATTTTGTTTTCCAATATGAATTTTAGATGTTGGAAGAGAAATAAAGGGAAAAGGGAACAAATGCAAAGAAAGAGAAAATTTGAACATTTCCCCAGGAGCAAAGATCAAACATATACCTGTCCAAAGTCCGGCATATCTAGCAAGGCAGTAATTTTAAATGTGTGAAGAAATTCAGGAAGGTATTTGGAGACATGCTGGGCTCTGGCAAGTAGGGCACTGAGGCTGGAAATGACATCCAACAGGGAGTTGAGCAAGCCATTTGCTTCAGAAGGTATAAGAGTCTTCCAGGACAAAAAAAAAAAAAAAAAAGAAAAAAGAAAAATCATGAAATAACCAACATTGTATTTTTACTCTCACAAGCATCTTTTCAGCACTGAAAACTTTGCTATTTGATTTTATTCTCTCTTCAACTTCACAGACATCTTTGCTGTACTCTATAAAAAATCCTCTCTATTAGAGTAGATAAAGCTGGGGGGTTTTTGGAGCACATTAAGTGGCACCAGTATTGTTAAAATGTAAATCAGGAACAAATGTGATCTATGGTTAAAACTCAAATCATTTCAAAACATTTCTTTTTGTATCTTTGGGGTGCCTAAGGTGGAAATTTGAGAAGAGGCTGAAAAGAACACAATGCTTTTTTGTGAAGCAATTTATATTTATCTACTGTTCCACTGTAKGTACTACATGCACTCATCATCTTAAGCCTTCTAACACTTTGGGGACTGTGCATGGTAATGCTCATTTTGTGGATTAGAAAACTGAGACTCAAAGACAGGAAATGTTTCCTTAAGTCTCAGCATGGTTTAGAGCTGGGAATTAACCCAGGTTCTTTAAAAACATCAGTGCTCTTCAAGAATAGCAGAATGAATCTGACCTAACTCTCCTATGTACCTCTATGAATATACAGCAGTGAATCTTACCATTACATACATCCACAAGACACTAATCATAAAAAAGAAAAAAAAAGTTAAACAGTTTAAAAGATCAGTAAAGCAGAGGGAAGGGATCAAGGGGCAGGAAGAAGAGACTGAATTAGAGCAAATTATATTCCATGCTTTTACAATTATGTCAAAATGAATCCTAATGTTATGCCTAACTAAATAGAATCAATAAATTTTTTAAAAAATCTACTTGTGCTAACACTCTGTGCCACGATATGCATCCTACGTATTATTTGCATATTCTCCATTCTAGAATGCCAATTCCCTGGAAGCTGGACTTTACTTTCCCTGTGTTGATCACATATGTAGCTAACAGAGATATAAAAGCATATGACAATATTAGTTGCACAATAAATATGTATTGAATGAATGGTTAAATTAGCAAACACCACCTCTTTCTATAGGTGGGAAAAGTCCGAGGGAATCTCCTTCTTCCACATGTCATTTGCATACTGAAAACAGGGTTCTTTGCAGRCTGAAGCAAATAACCCCAAGGTCACTATTTTATATTTCTGCTCATTAGAGTTCTGCTCCTGCCACTTAGCTGTAAGTTCTGTGGCTAAATTTGGAGGACGTGAAATCACAGTTCCTTCCTTCACTAACATTCTGCTAATAACAATGAGGTCCTGTCCATTAAGACAATAAAGTTGACTTAGGCAGGAGAAACAGCATTAGCTCTTGTCAGGTTTTATATTTGACTTTCTAATTACAGCTACAGCTAGAAGTGGCAAACAGCACCCCTGACTTGGGGTAGGAAGTGACTGGGATTTAGTCAGGGCACTGATGGATGAATGTGCACAATCAATCCAGCAAAGCATTTCTTAGAAAAGCCTTCAAGAATTCATTGTCAGACAAGTGAAACAGATAGTGTATGGGCTTGGGTGCACTGGAGTTACACTGGAACTTTCAGAAAGCTGTGTACATGGAAGGTTCCTGACAGATAAGAGCATTGTTATTAACGGTGATAACATCTGCACTGTGTCTGGAAGACTGAATCAAATCTACTATCTTATCCTCTGAAGAAATCTTGGCATGGATGATGGCCTTTGTCAAAATAATTACTTAGGTGCTCTGAAGCACTAATTTCAAATCAGAGACTTCTGGCACATAATAGAGTGGCCAGTGAAATGCTGGTGTATTGATGACCCTATATCTGCTTCCCAAAAGGCATACTGCAAAGTTGGCAGAGAGGGCTGTGGTGAGAGAATGAAGAAACTAAGTATTCATTCCACCAAGAAAGATGTGGGCTCACAAATTATGAAGACATTTAAGAAATATTCATCCTCCTCAAGGCTTTAAAATGCACTCATTCTGAAAATTAATATTTGTTCTTGGCATGTGTACACACCTGCACACTATCCAATTATCCATTGGATTTTTTTGAATGTTCTAAGGGAAGGAGACCATGAATGGATGGAACAGTGTTTCTACCTATTGCTGACCCCAAAACTCTTCTCTGTGACTTGAAACATCCACAGTAACCTTGCTATACTGCAACCCAGACATTGTAAAATATAAAATATATCCCTAAAGGGAGAACCTTGAACCAAGATCATGCCCCAAGAATGAAGGCTGAGGTTTCTGCATATATGAGTAAAGATTCAAACTGTGGAGGCCAGGAAAGTTGGGACTTTGGGAAGGAGGAACCCAAGAGCAGGAGACCCAGGCTGGTCCCAGTGGGCTGCCTGGGACCTGTAGAACTAGGGTTTGCCCTAACTCTATTGGCCTTTCCCCTTCTCAGTTCTATCCTGCAGACATTACCATCTCAGATGCTTCCCTACCCTGCCACTGTGTGCCAGGGTGTCATGGGGTAGGTGAAGAACTGGCCACACAGAGACATGGCATTGCCCATCCTGTGCAGTGCATAATAGAGGCCTCAGCCCCAGCTGTCATAGGAGTAGAGAAGCGTGAGCCATGGTATGGGAGGGCAGCACCTGATTGGGCAGCTCAGGAGTGGACCAGGATCAACCCACCTCTGCCAAACACTCCAGGAAGGTGGCCTTTGGTGAGGAGGGAAACCTGGTGCTAGGCGTCATGGTGGTTTTGTTGTTCCTTTCTTACTGATTCTATAACCTACCACCAACACTGTCCAAGAGACAGAATTCCCCATGCCCTGTCTCCAAGGTCACCCTGCAGGGTTTCCTAAACACCCCTTTATTATAAAAAAAGTTTCATTGAGCCCCAGAACCAGCAAACAGACGACACTACAGGTAGCCAAGGCTGCCACAGAGTCACATAGAGACCAACAGGTCTCATAGTAGCTGGTACAGTTGGGTGTGGGCATATATAGATTTAACCAACCCAAAGACAGACAACATTAAAAAAAATGTATGTTTACTGAACAGATATGGATTTTTTGGCATTATTATCTAAACAATATTGTATCACAACTATTTACCTATCATGTCACAATAGTTATTATAAGTAGTCTAGGGATTATTTAAAGTACATAGAGCTGGAGGTGCAGCTCAGTTAAAGCACTTTTGTGGGAGGCCCTGGGTTTCATCCTCAGCACTGCAAATAAATAAATAATATTCAGGAGGACGTGTAGGTTATATGCAAATACCACACCATTTGATATAAGGGAATTGATCATCCTCAGGTTTTAGTACCTCCAGCAAGTCTTGAAGTCAATTCCCCCTTATACCTGGGGCCCAGCAGGATAGGATACCAAGGATGAGGATGACTGCATAAACTACAGTCTCATCTGCCCAGCCATGGAAGCACCTCCTCTGAAGCTTAACACATCCCAGCAGATTCTCCTTACTTTATAAATGAAAGTTCGCAGGTTCAGGTTCTGACTCATCACCACAATCAGAGGATACACTTTCGACCCGGGAAGGCCACAGAGTTCCTTCATTGCAAACAAAGATGTTTCGTCTTCAGGAAATGTCAGCAGGAGACGAAGAATCTCTTGATCACACTTTCCAGACAGAGCCATGGTAAGGGCACTGGAGAGAACCTGTTTCAAAGCAGCAGGGTCAGAAGTGACTACACCAAGTACCTTATACCTGGGGTCCAGCAGTCTCGGCTTTCTCAAGCATGATCTGCCACGGAACAGGACCCCAGGGTGCAGAAGACTCGCCTGCCTGTTAGTTGGCTTCCTATCACTGTGACAAAATGTCTCAGACTGATTTAGGTTCATGATTTGAAGTTTCAGTCCATGGTCAGTTGGCTGTGTTGCCTTTGGGCCTGTGTTAACCAGAACCTCATGCAGGGAGCAGGTGGGGGAACATAGCTGCCCAATCATGGCAGCAGGAAAACAGAGAGAGAGAGAGAGGAAGCAGCAGGCTCCTAATATCCCCTTCAGGGCCACACTCCCATGAGGTCACTTCCTCCCACTAAGTTCCACCTCTTAAAGGTTCCTCCACCTCCCGACAGCACCACAGGCTGCAGACTAAGCTCAAGTCTGAGGGATATTCAAGATCCAAAGTATGGCAGAGCTCAACCCTCCACTGTGTTTTAAACATTTGAAATGGAAATGTTTCTGAAATTGCACATCACCCTCTGACTTCTTTATAGCTTACTCTTATTTGGGGGCTGGGGAGCTCATTACAAACCTCATCTCTCTGCAGGGCTCTCCTCCTGGTAATGCCCTCACACCTACCTTTGGGTCTTTTCACTGTTAGTGATGTAAACTGATATATATTTTTTTGTTTTTTGCCTCTTCCACATTTGGATTGAAAACRGTATTCCCAGGCTTGTCTTAATTTTTTTTAAAAGTAAGAGCAATTGTGAATTTTGTGGCTATAAACATTGGGATGCATTATCACTATCATACACTGACTTTGGTGCTTAGGTAAATACCAAGGAGTGGAATAGCAACCCAATCCACAAGAGCCAGTTATGGAACCAGCCTAGTGTTCATCAGCAGATGAATGGCTGAAGAAAATGTGATGCATATACACAATGGAGTTCTACTCAGTCATAAAGAAGAGTGAAATTATGTCATTTGCCTTAAAGGGATGGAACTGGAGACCACAATGCTAAGTAAAATAATTCAGACTCAGAAAGTCAAGAGTCTAATGTTCTCTTTCATATTCAGAAGCTAGAAAGAAAAAAAAATGAATTAAAAACAAGGAAAATATCATGGAAACATAARGGAACTCCACAGAATAGACAGGGGATCACAGGGGAGGGAAGAGGGAAGGAAAAGGGAAAAATTAGTGAATAAAATCCACCAAATTATTCAATAGGTAGGTATGAATACACCATGATAAATCCCACTTTAGGCATCATCATAATGTGCTAATTAAAAATACTGTGTGTGATACATTGCTAATGAGACTGCAAATTGGTGCAACCACTCTGCAAAGCAGTATGGAAAGTCCTCAGAAAACTTGGAAAGGAACCACCCTTTGACCCAGCTATACCAATCCTCGGTTTATACCCAAAGGACTCAAAATCAGCATACAGTGACACAGCCACATCAATGTTTACAGCAGTGCAAGTCACAATAGCTCAACTATGGAATCAATCTAGGTGCCCTTCAACAGATGAATGAATGAAGAAAATATACACAGTGGAATATTATTCAGCCTTAAATAAGAATGAAATTATAGCATTTGCAGGTAAATGGATGGAGCTATAKAATTTCATGTCAAGTGAAATAAGATAAACCCCCCAAAAATAAAAGTCAAATGTTTTTCTCTGATAATGGGATGCTAATCCATAATGAGAGGCAAGGGAGAATGAAGAAACTTTGGTGTGCAGAGGGGAGTGAGGGGAGGGGAAGAAACGTGGGGAGGGCAAGAACGGTGGAATGAGACAGACATTATTACCCTATATACACCTATGATTACACTACCATATTCAGCCAGAAGAAAGAGAAGTTGTGCTCCATTTGTGTACAGTGTATCAAAATGCATTCTACTGTCATGTATAACAAATTAGAACAAATAAAATAGGGGGTGTGTGTGTGTATGTGTGTGTGTGTGTGTGTGTGTGTGTGTGGAGAGAGAGGGAGCTCAGTAGAGGAGGGGACTGGAGAGAGAAGAGGGGAGTGAAAAGGGAATTACTAGGGAATGAAATGTAGTAAATAATGTTGAGTGCATTGTGAATATATCACAACGAATCCCACTACTATTTCTAATTATAGTACACTAATAAAACCATAATTTAAAAAAATAGAGCAAATAAACTTGGAAGGAAGAACTGAGGACAGCCTGTATTAGATTAGAATTACACCTGATTAGAATTACATCTCACTGTCAAAGGCCCTGAGGTGCGTCTTCATTTCAGCATGCCTTTCATTTAATGACTTTGTAAGACCTCCACTTAAAAAACAAAATAAAACAAAACCTGCAATTCTTGTTGTGTGTTTACACTCCCGATGGATAATATTGCTGTGAAGCTTGCAGACCAAGTGAGGTCTAAACGCATAAAACTTTTGACAAGAGCTACTTCTCGCTTTATAGGAGCCATGCCATCAGGTGGGGTTTACAAAATGCCTTCATGTGCCACAAAATGTCAAAAAGAAAAGGTCAAGTGTGTGTGTGTGTGTGTGTGTGTGTGTGTGTGTACTTCATCTACAAAGTAAGGAGAACACACAGAGAAATTTATTTTAAGTAACTGGCTCATGCAATTACAGGGGCTGCCCAGCCAAAAATCTGCGTGGGGGGGCCAGCAGACCGGGAAGCCCAGGAGGAACTGATGTTGCTGCTCAAGTCCAAAGTCTACCTATTATGGTTTGGATATGGTGTCCTCCAAAAGCTCCTCTGTTAATGCAGGAATGCCCAGAGGTGAGATGTTGGATTGTGAGAGCTATAACCGGATCAGTCCACCCTAGTTTAAAAGGACTAATTAGGTGGTATCCATAGGCAGGTGGGGCAGGGCTCCAAGAAGTGGATCACTGGGGCATACCCTAGAAGGATGCATCTTTCCTGTGGTCCTTCCCACCTTCTCTCCTCTGCTTCCTGGCTTCCGTGAATGGAGCCATGCTTCTCCTCCTCCACACCCTTCCTCTGTGATGTGCTGCCCCCCCCCCACCTTGGTCCCAGAGTAATGGGCTAAACCTCTGGAAGCTTGAACCAAAATAAGCTTTTCCTCCTCTAAGTTGTTCTTGTCAGTTATTTTTGGTTACAGCAATGAAAATCGGACTAACACACCACCTAAAAACAGAAATTCTTATTCTTTGAGGGAACTTGGTATTTTTTTTTTCTTGTAAGGTCTTCAACTGATTGAATGAGGCCCATCACATTTGGGAGTGTTGTCTGCTTTACTCAAAGTCTGCTGATTTAAATGTTAACCTAAAATGTTAACCTAAAAAATAACCTTCACGGGGACATTTGGAATAATATTTGCTTTCATACTTAAATAATCAATAATCCCTTTTTCATATGGGTTGTGCATGTTGCAAACACAAGTTGGCAAAGTTTTTCTTAATGCCTCTGAAGGGAAGGGTGGTTCTGGGGGTAATCTTCTAGGAGTAGAATATGAGCATCCACCCCTGGCTTTAATTAAAGCGGTCCCTCTTTTGTCAGTACTACAAAATGAGCTAAGGTATGAAATTTTCCTGGGAAATGAGACTCATCCAAATCCAAAGACTTGACCCCACAGGAGTGGTTCCCAGCTTTTGTGAGCATCAACCCAAACTGGCCCAGTGAAAGTCCTTCTGTTTGCCATAGAGCCTTTGTCTTGGTCCTTGTCCAGTTTATCATGCAATGATTMCAAGACAAGGACTTGGAATTTAGTGCCACAGCACAAATATTTGTCTTGAAATTTTTTACATCTTTTTTACCAAGCAGGGAGTGCCCCACACCCTACCTTCTGGGGGATTCACAAGAGCAACAGTTTTAGCCACATACTTGCTTCTACTGCTTTTCTATGGTTTTTCAAATTTTATCATCTGTCTTTTTAAAATCCTGTGACCATTTTTCCTGGTTGAAAAGCACCTGAAGCAAGTGGGAACAGGATGAGTAAAAATAAACCTATGATAACACTGTTTTGCTTGGTTGGAAGCAAAATGTGTGATTTCTGATCGAAGCTCAACAGGCATCTTTCAACTTAAGCTGTGCTCAGACTGATTTTTGTAAATTACCAGGAACATGGATGCTGAGTTCCTGATACTTTTCCTATGGGTCCATGTTTGGCTTGGACAGCTGCAAGAAGACCAGGGTCCCAGAGAAGACGTCACCCCACCCCCCATGAGCCCTGCACACCTACTCAGCAGCTTAAGATATTTGATTTATAAATGACAATCATCCCCAGGGGAGGCATTTGGCRTTTTTAGCAGGAGCTTGTTTAACAGACGTCTACTGACAGTCTAGTCCTGTTCAGAGCAGAATATGGGAGATGGTCTTGGTGTTGTCCACCTAGTGATTTTAGACTCAGAGGTACAGAGAAAATCTGAACAGGATGGTAGCTCTCAGCATCATCGTGAGGATGGAGGAAACACTCACAGTGATGCTCAATATCTAGGACTATCAGGAAGAGCTGCTCTATCAATTTAAGCTGTGTGAGCCAAGAAAACAAAATCGGGTCAAATAGGAGAAACAGTTCTTCACATTTCAAAGAGAAGTAGTGTGGCCCTCTGTTCTGCATTGCAACTGAGCTCAAATCTGCTGACATGATAAAGAGACAGGTGCAAGAGAGCAGTAGGAGAAAGGAAGGGAAAGCTCTGAGGCTGCAGAAGGACTGAAGCCACTGAGTGGAGAGCCTGTGGTAATGAATTTGGAGGAGAAACAGAAAGGCCAGTATTAGCTGGATTGACTCCATCTGATGCTGACATCAAAATTGCCAAATATCTGCAAGTCTCAGCTACATGACTAACAACTATGGTGACAACAAGATGCCAAAGGATTGTTGGGATAATTAAATGAGATACAAAGCTCTCGGGACAGAGAAGAGTACTTCTAGGTGGTCAGCAACCACCGTTCTTACTGATATGCTCTTAAGCAACTACCAGAAAAAATACAGCTTTGGCTTACAGCATATTGCAAGAAAAAGATGAATAAGAGTTAGATAGAGCCACTGATTGAGAAAGATAATTGCATTTTAGAAAAGAGAGAGGAGGTACAGCTGATTAATTCCACCTTTGTTCCAGTATTGCTAAGGAGAACCATTTTTGCACTGGATTGTATAACACTGATCTGAGGTCTGTGGGCTACCATCAAATGCTGTGCCCAGCCTTGCACTGCACCCTGACAGGTGGCCTCTAGGGCAGGGTAGCCCACTGAGACTAGAACTTGGCCGGCTGCAGTTCTAGACAGCAGCCACAGCCACCATCTGGCAACCCTCCCCACCCAGACCCCTCTGCCTCCAAGTCCAGACCCCTCTCTTCTTTCCTGTCTTCAGGAAGGGCCATGATTCTATCTATAGTTGTTTGAAGAAGTCATGGAGAAAATGAAAACAACCTCGGTTTTCTCATTTGAAATAGACTTTGGAAATTACTGACGGGTGATAATATCAGCCCTGGAACAATTCTGATTGTGGGCTAGCCAACAGCTGACATCCACATAACCAGCCCTATCAAGGTGACCAGACTCGCCAAACTCCGTCACTTCTACTTACAAGAAATAACGACGAGACTGGGAATACGTTTTCTTTGAAGGGATCTCCAGAAAGAGATCAAAACTCTGTGGGTGTCCCCTCTCCCTCCCTCCTTAAGAATGATGGCAGTGGTGGAGGTAGAACAAATTTATGAAAATTGTGGAAAACACCAAGGTCCTCCAAATGCTGCTCAGATGTTTAGCATAGAAAACAAAGGGGCAGTAAACAGACCCCTTGATCACTCTCTGTTTGCGTCCTGATTCTTTGACYTCACTGTTGATTTTAAAAGAATAAAAAATTGACTTAACACAAAGAAGCAAATCACCGTTGATGTGGATGAAAGCTTAAGACACAGGAATCCAGCATAAAATGAAGAGGTGCTACCAGGACAGGGTAGAAGGGACAGCAGCCCAGGATAGATGGCAGGGCTAGCTGGGCTCCAGAGTCTGCGACTGGGATTTTAATTGGGTGGTGCTGATGTTAAAGAATGAAGCTCTGCAAGAGAGGAGCTTCTCATAGATACCCACAGCTGGTTCTCTGCAGCCAAGCAAGGGTGGAAAAGAAAATGACTTGATATCAAGGTGTCAGCCTGCCTTGGCCTCCTTCTGCTCATTCCTGCTCCTGGTCCTTTGATGCAATGTCCCAAGCCCTGTGACTCTCAGATCATTCCAGTCTGGCCTAGATGTCACGTGCTCAGGGAGGCTTCCTAGAACCACCTATTCCCATCCCTGTGATAAATGCACGTCCTAGAAATTTCCAGATTCTTCACTTACACTGTCATGATTTGTTACATATTTACTGGGTTGTTACAGAAGGTTAACTTCCCTAGAGTAGCAAATTAAGCCCCAGCTTTTGAAATCATGCCTGAAATGCAGGAAGCTCTTAAATGAATGATTAAATGAATGAATGAATGAATTAATTAAAGAAAGTTTTCTGCAATTTTTCCAGAACCTTACCACCAGTCAGGCTAACCTCACTTCAGGCACTCCCTGCAGGCCACCAACAACTTGGATTATGGATACAATGAGGTCAGTTTGCAAACTGACTAATACAACTACAGTAGAGAAGCCCAGGAAGAAAAAATAAAGAAAGGGTACCACAAATTAGATGATGCTGCTGCCCACCTAACAACCTATAAAAAACTCGTTCCCAAAGTGCTACCTCCTAACCTGACATAAAATCCCTTGCCTATGATCTGTGCATGCATGCACGCGGGTTCATGGATAGACTTATGTATAAAAGCAAATAACTTCATTAAGTATTCGAAAAGCATAAAAGCAACTTTTTATGTCCCTCCCCTTTACTTGACGGTCCACCCATTTAGATGACCACAATGAATGATACTGCCAAAAATGCAGAGGAAGATACACAAACTACCAAAAAAAAAAAAAAAATCACTGCAAAACCTTTCCATAGGGCATATCACCATTGAATTCAAGCCTCCTCAGGACATAGCCCACTCATGATAGAACTTCAGTGACACCTGGTGGCTGCTTGCTTAAGCAGGCAGCAAGCATCAAAAACACCGATGTCCAAACCTAAGATGTATCCTAAGACTTTGGATCCAAAAGGACCCCAGAAATTAGGTGATCTGATGTTTCTTTTAAAGCCATCCTAGGAAGCTACTCAAATTAATTTAGTCACTAGTCCATTTACCTGTTACAAGTTCCGGTAACTCTTAAGATTTCAAAGGAAAGCTATTCACTATTTGTATCTAAGGTTAATAATGAGCTGAGTGAAGACATTTCACCACTACTCCCTGAAATCTCATCACTCTCCTCACCTCCACTATCACTCCCAACATCTTCATGCATATGTAGTATTTACTGAGTTGAATAGATACTAGGAAAAGTTGATATTACGTGTCTTACTTACTAACTTGGTAACACTACAATTTGAATTTTAGATACAAATCTACTTCTTTCTTAATTTAGACTAACTCTTAAGGTACTCAAGGTGCATTAGCCCCCCCTCTAATTAACCATAACTGACATGCAAATAATATGTATGGGGTCCCAACTGATAGTCAATGCTAATTTTTTTTTTTTTTTGTAAGCCAGTTTAATGATTCTCTATTGAATAGAGTAAGACTCCAACTGGGAATGCTGAAAAGCAACTGCAAAGGACCCCAGGGATATCTGCTGTGGCCCACGCATAATTTCCCTGCTCCCCTCTTCTGAGATAAACCACGCCTCAATGCAACCCAATATGTGTTACTCATCCTTGGGTTTCTTGCAATGGCTTTTTAATAGTTTCATCACTTTTTTCAGCTGCCTTCACCAGAGCGTCTCAATCACCTTGGAGATGACATGGCCTGTCATTACTCATCTGCCTTCGCAAGTCACTACCACAGCACGCTGTCAGATTGTGCACTCCACTTAAAGGATACTGGAGTCCATTTTTAAAATATTTTCAGCTGTTTTGCTTTGGGATATTTTTTCAGTTTGATAACAGCTATGGAAACAAGCAGAGGCACCCTGGTATGTCCTGCATCAGAGTTAGGGATTACAGGAAAAAAAAATCATCACCAGTTTTATCGTTTCTAATCCCAAATGAAGTCAATATTATGAAATTAAAGACTCCCAGGGTTTTGTCATGAGACAGTGATATCCTTTGGTTCCTTGCTTGTTTTCTCATTCCCTTTCTGCTTTCAGTTATATCATTTGTGCAGCAACCCACTCCCCTAGCCATGGGGGAGGACAGAAGGAAGAGGAGAGAGAATAACACAACACCAACAGCTTCAGGCTGAGGGCCCTGTAGGTGGGCAAGCACAGAAGCAGCAGCCTGTACCTTGGAATGGGAAATATTTGCTTCTAAGATACTGTGGATGGTCTCATCTGAGATGTGGATAGAAGAGCGAAGATCTTTTGTGAGCTGGGTGACRTTCTTCATCAAATCTTTTACTTTTACATCTAAAAAATTAGCAAAAGGAATAAAATTTTATTTTTTAAAAAAGTTCCAATTATTTCTGAATATTTTTGTGGTAACAAAATTTGATATTAAAATCTGACAAGGATGGTTTCCTCCACGATGACCAACTTAGAGAAGACACTGAATAAAGTTCCATCTTAGTCCTCTTAGGGCAACTGAGATAATTTATACTAGAAGTAAATCAAGACCCCAGAATATATAGTATTATCTGGTCAATTGTTTACTCGTTCGAAGACCTCTATATTTTAAGATTGACTTGAAAAAGAGCTTTATCTTAGGGAACAATGATCAAGTCTCATAAGAAACTCACTTCTCCACCTGTATCTGTTTATCTCATTTTGTAGCAAGAGGAGGGTCAGTTAAGGATTTTCCAGAATTCTTCAGATTTAGCATATTGATTCTGCAAGCAGCTTTGTGAGTTGTATATACAGAGCAGACAGAGAAGCAGAAACTAATAGGCAACATTCGCCCAAGGAGACAGAACTAGAGCAAAATCCAGACCACAGACACTTCTCTTCCTTCTCTGCTTGATTTTTTGGTACCCCAGGATTTGAGAATTTTCTCTATAAAGCCCTCAAACATCAGACCAGCCAAGTTCTATTGTCATTTTCACATATACTCTAAGGTTTCCTTTGAATGTTTTATTTTAATAACATTTGAGTGAAAAAAACTGAATTTAATTTTTAATCAAGCAAAATTGGAAAGCCACATACTTACTCTCGGTAACTGTAAAATTGCTAAGAAAAGTCATAATGGAATTCCCAGACAACCAAGTCTTCTCAAAGCTTTTGGCCAACCTAAGATGGCAAGAAATTAAAACTAAATTAGGCAAGATAAAACACCAGAAACAATTTTGGTGTGAATAATCCTGCCTTAGTGCCCAGGAGATGAGCCGGATAACAAGWTCACATTTCCATAAAATTCCTCTGATAATTAGACACACAATCTCTCCCCACACCATCTGTATGTGAATATCCTTTAATACCAACACTGCAATATTTCCTTCTCAGAGACCCTGCCAAGCAAGAAAAATCGGGAAATAAAGATGCATAATAAATAGCTTTTCACAAATGTGAAAGGGACAGGCAGAATCTATCAGGAGATGTTTGAGAAATTAGGATATCTAGAGTCAGATGAACATCTCTCTGCGAATGTCATTTGTAGAATACAAAGTCCCCGACATCCTCATCTGAGGGCTTATATTTCTAGAACTCTGAGATAAATTAATTAAATATGAAGCAATCTAAAAATACTTTATACTGTTCATCCACTCATATTTAATACCTTATTGTGATATTGGATCATGACATTTTATTCTAATTCCTTGGTCACCAGTGAAGTGAGCCTTATGGCGAATGCTGCTCTTACATTTTGCTATTTAAAAACTTAGTTATGGAAAACTGTGATGGTTAGAAAATGTATATGTATTCATATCAGGAGAAGACGTGAGATCCCGCTGGTACCTACGTGCTCATGTGCTGCTGAACTGTCTCTAGTGGGGGCTGGCATGTGCAGTCCTGGTCCGTGGCATTTTCCAAGTTACTTCTGAAGCTTTCCAAGGTGCTAGAAAGATTTCTGCTAAGACTTTCACAATTTATCTGATTAGGTGAGGACCATATCTTTTCAATTTCCTAGAAAACATAGCAGTGATATAGGTTGGAAACACACACTTTTAAAAATTAACCTTTGCCCTCACAGTTACATGTATTGTCAGGTTTTTACTTATTCTCGGTCGTCTCAGGAAACAGAAATGGAAAGTCATGGCTATTGCCTCTGTCACTGCAGAGAAGTAGAATGAGCTTTCAGCTACAAAGTAGGGGAGCCCAGGTTTTATTCCTGGCTCTTCCTAGATGCAAGAAGATGGTATGTTCTTCAATACATGGCAGACAATAAACAACATCCTCCCGAGTGACCAACCTGCATTTAGATTACTACAGTATGGTTCCCAGGAACTTGGGCCACTCGGTAGCAAAAGTAAACAACCTAATTATAAAAATTGGTCAAAGTGTTAGATAGACATGTCTCTAAAGAAAACACACAAATGATAAATAGGTACATGAAATGGTGCTTAACATCATCAATCAGCAGGGTAATGCAAATAAAAGTCACAGAGAGATGTCGCTTTATACATATTAAGATGACTGTCATCAAAACAACAAGAGATACTTACAAGTTTTCTCAGGTGCAATGGTGCACACCTGTAATCCCAGAGATTGGGGAGGCTGAGGCAGGAGGATGGCAAGTTCAAGGCCAGCCTCAGCAATTTAATGAGACCCTGTCTCAAAGTTTAAAAGATGAATAAATAAAAAGGGCTGTGGAAATCATGCCAACTGTAATGACATGGATAAACCTAGAAGAAACACTAAGAGTCACAAAAGAAAAAAAGAAGAGAAAAAAAGCCTCATTTAGATGTAAGGTGACCAGTGAGTATCCAGCCATGAAGACTCCATGGGGCATTGGTAGGAGCAGCCAGCCTCTAAGCAGTGCTGCCTGCTACCTGCAGGGGTTCGAGAGGGAGTGGCTGCCTCAGGCCAGTTCTTCATTGTCTTTCTCGAGGCAGGACTCAGGGCCCACAGACCTCTCTGTTTTCTTTACTTAGATCCCCAGCATCTATACTATCCTTAAAGACAAATCCCCTCCAGCCTTCCCATCACTCAGGACCCTGAAGACCTGTGCACAGAACCCATTCAAGGCCAAAGTGTAACCACAGTCAAGCAGAAAGGAAAAGAACAGTAGCAATCATAGGCATGCATCTGAAAAGCAGGAAGATGTCCAGGTTTGGTCCCAAGGCTTCAGTCTGTGTGCTCATTTCTAGTGACATGCAAATTATTCCCTTCAACTTTCATCTTCTATTCTTATTYCCAAATGTGGAGCTCTCTAAACTCTCCCCAGTGCACTCACTAAAATATTTCACAGGTCCAATATTCTCCTTCCTGGATAGATGTCCCCGCCTTGTAGCATGCCAGTGCCCAGAGACAACCAGTCATATAGGTACAAACAAGTGGCTCCTTAGAGCCAACTCACTTTAAGAATATAGGTTGAATTAAACCTATCTCATGGGGAGCTCTGCCCAGGGAACATTGCCTCATAGAAAAGAACCTCTAGTTTATAACTTGTAATTATATGCAAATTAAATTAAATCCAATACATTTATAGCATTCCCACTATGGATATTATTCTTAAATTTAACAAAATGATAATCACAGAGGGGCTTATAAAGAAGGAACGCACATAACCTCTCTCCTCAACAGCAATAACTAATGGGAGAAAAGTTCCAATTTTCTCAGCACAGGTTTACTAGGGTCCAGGAAAGTAGTATCTAGAACAGTAGAGACTGGCATCCATTAAGTTAAACCTTTGGGATAACATAATACCACCCCATGGAAAAAGCARCACACATCATACTTCATTCCGTGGCTAGAACAAGCCTGTATCATCTAGGGACTGTTCAAGTAAGTGGACACAGATGGGCCCAAAAGTCTTGATTTAGAGAGGTGGTCAGAAATTTGCAGTTTGACCTGGAATCTGGCCGCATTGTTCATTTCAGCTTATCTCAGAAGTATAAAGACAGATTGGGTCCTGTGGTCATTTTTGAACCCCATTTAGCTCCTGATGGCTACTTTCTGCCATCAGGAAAGCAAAACAGCAGAGTAAGGAGCTGAGACACTGAACCTTGAGCTTATCAATTCAGCCAGTGGGGACTTTCATTCCAAAAGAAACTGGGGAAACTGTGTGTTAAACTATTTAGATATTGAAACACTAAAGATGGCACTGTGCCCTTTGTCTGCCTTTATCAGGCACAGGAGATTTTGCATCCCATATCCTGGAAAAGAACTATATTTCTAAAAGTCTCCATTTGATGGTCTAATGGGCACATTCTAACGGTTTTGCATCCTGAGATAGCAACATTCTTTGTTTGTCATCAGAGGAAGGAACTTCCGCTCTTCATCAAAGCTAACCTATTACCAGTCAGAATTCTTGACAACCATATAATAATTTGAAATAAAAATATGATCTTTGAGTTAGTTGTTTCAAAAGTTGGAGTGTCTTGCCTGTTTTATTACCACAAACTTCTCTCAGCATTCAAAAGCTGCAAGTAATTTTTCTTTATTCACATTTAATACAGGCTGAGTATGCTTATTCAAAATGCTTGAGACCTAAAGTTTTGAGGATTTTATTGGATTTGGGAATATTTGCACATACACAATGCACATACATTTATTAGGAATGGGACCCAAGTCTACACATGAAATTCATTTATGCTTTGCACACACTTTGTACACATAGCCTGGAAGTCACTTTCGTGTGTCCTTGTTCTGACTGTGTCCTGTCCCATGAGGTCAGGTGTGGTATTTTCTATCTGTGGTGTCTGTCATGTTGTTGCTCAAAGTTTTAGATTTTGGAGAATTTTGGATTTAGGATTTTTGGATTAAGCATGCTCAACCCATACCTGACAAAGATCTGCAGAATCTGAAATTAAAAATTTGACGGTCTAATGGGCTGGGGATATAGCTCAGTTGGTAGAGTGCTTGCCTCATATGCACCAGGCTCTGGGTTCAATCCCCAGTAATAATAATAATAATAATAATAATAATAATAATAATAATAATTTGATGGCCTAAGTAAATCAATGAAAATCTGACAAACTACAAGGGCTGCACTAGTAATTATCTCACAGGATTCATAAGGATATCTGCTCACATATGCTACTCCTCCAAAAGCTGGAGAATATAAGGATCAACAGCTCTCATCCTCTCCTCACTACTGCAGAAGCCCAGTCTTTGGTGCCCTCATATGTCCCAGGAGATTGGCACAAACACCACTGATCTACTTYGGTATCGTCCCTCTTTTCACTCTCTGGGATAATGCCACACTCACTGGACATATCATTGGGTACAGTCAGTGTAAAAACAATTTTTAAAAAAGCTCAGAGCTGGTCTTAGAAGAAAGGCAGGCTGTGTGGRAAAAACTCCATTGAGCCTATGTGTGGGCCCAGTGGTCCTTAATACCAAGCAAAAGAGTGGGTCCCAGATGAAAGTCATATTCTACGATTCAATGTTATTTGGAGTTCCTGCCTGGGGGTCTTGGGCACTTGTTCAAATTAATAAGAAGCAAAGTGCTATACTGGTTTCCCTTCAGCTATTGTTCTTGAACATGGCAGTGTACGTGATTAGTGAGAGCTGGTGATGGACTGGCAAATGTTTAAAAACTAGCTCTCAAAAAAAATCAATAAATAAAAGATCTGATTTGTAGTACTTTCCACTTCCCAGGGTGTAAACACTCCCACATTGCCTAGTTCACACTGTCAAGATGACATCAGTAAATGTGACCATATAGTGTTTCCATGAGGTAGATACCACAGAAGCAAATGATATCAGAAAAACAGATAGCAGTAAAATATACTAAAATAGTTTGGAGTTAATGAGTATTTATTAACTTTATTTTTAACCCAATTTATATAATCATATATTTACATAATTTGATTGTTAATGATGTTGGTGCTAAACAACCAGCTTGCAAAATTCCTGGTATTTGAAAAAGCAGCTCCCACAACTCAATGCCAGTCAACTTCTGCACAGACTGAAAGAACCTGAATGACAGAAAGGGTGAAGGCTCATTTTGCAAGCCTAACTTTCACCATGACTATATGTGACACAATTGCTCTGGCTATAAGGACCACGCTKCAAGCTTGCGATACCTTGACTGCCTCGAAGGGGCCCTCAGGAATGAATATGACATTCTCGGAAAAATAGAAGATGACAAACCTGATAGTAGTTGTGCACCAAAGTGACCCCTTGGATAGCAGATAAAATGAGATGCCTTATCCCACCTTGCTTGCAACTCACAGTAGCACACAAAATGTCCTTAGTCAAGGAAGGGTTTTCTGCCAGAGGAAACAGAGAAAAGTAATTGGTAAGCAGTCCTTTCCAGAACTCTCCAGTCCCACAGAATCATTTCTTCAAGATTCAAAACAAATTCCTAAAAATTTCTTAAATCAAGATGAACTTTCAGATGATAAGGAAAAAGCTATGTCTTTAATTTTTTAAATTGGCACAAAGTAATTGTACGTGTGCATAGGATACCAGGCASCTTTTCAGTACATATATATGAGGGTTGACCATCAGATCAGGATAGCTGGCAATATATCATCTCAAACATTAATCATTTCCTTATATTGGGAATATTCAAAACCCTCTCTACTAGTCATATTGCAAAATTGAACTAATTGTGTCTATTGCACTATAGAACCCCACAAGTTACTCCCCCTATCCAACTGCACCTCTGTGTTCATGAACCATCCTGTTTCAACATATTCCCCAGGCTCTGGTAAACATTATTCAACTCTCTACCTCTATGAGATCAATATTTTAGCTTCTATGGATAAGTTAAATAATGAGTATTTATCTTTTAGTGCCTGATTATTTTGTTTAATATAAAGTCTTCCAGCTCCATCTAATTTCTGCAAATGATAATTTTATTCTTTTTAACAACTAAGTAATATTTCATTGTTTATACACACCATAATTCCTTTATCCATTAAAGTTGTGTCTTTTAAGGTTCAGATGTAATTAAAGAGTTTTTCCCAAGCTGAATTTATTGTATAGAAATCCATTTCCAACCTCTACCTGCCACAAACTGGCCCTTCTTCCTGTATTTCCTATAAGTGGGGTACTGTTATGATTCAGATATGARGTATCTCCCAAAAGTTTATGTGTGAAACAAGGCAAGAATTTTCAGAGGTGAAACGATTAGATTATGAAAGGTGTAACCTAATCAGTGGATGAATCGGGTAGGATGTAACAGGAGAAAGTAAGTCACTTGGAGTGTGACTTGGGGGTTTATATTTCATCCCTTATAAGCATAGTGTTTCTCTCTCTCTCTCTTTCTATTTCTCTCCCTATCCTACCTGGTTTCCTTCTCTTGAGATGCTTTCCTCTGCCATGCCCTTCTATCATGATGTTCTGCATAAATTCATAAACTCAAGCCCAGAGTTTTGGAGTCAACCAACCATGGACTGAACCTCTGAAACAGCAAACCAAACAAACTTTTCTTTCTCTAAATTATTTTTTGTCTTTGGGTCACAGAGATGCAAAGTTGAATAAAACAATACCTATTTGCCTCCAGATTGACCAGGACAGTCTTGGTTTTTACCTTCTGTCTTGAAGTAAACAGTAACCTCTTTCTTTCTCTCAAGTGCCCCACATGCTCAATTTTCTTACAAACATAAAACTTCCCCAAGGTCTTTCCATACAACCAATCTCTCCATCTGTTTCACTCTACCTCCCAGTTTCTCTAGATTCTGTGCCTTCATCCAGCACCCCAGGTAACATGCCAAACTCCTAGCAGCTCCCACCCATATCTCACCTCTGTAATCTGCCTTCTGCTCTGAGCCACAGGACTCTTCCTCAATAAAAGAAATGGTCAGAAAGGGAAATCTGCCCAAAGGCTCAAGATTGCATTCAAAATTTTTTCACAGCCACTGGCTGCCTTCACTTCCTAGAGGGTCCCTCCCTTCTGCTTAGTCTGTCCGCACCTTCTACTGGGGCTTCCTCTCCCAAATCTACCTTCCTTTCACAGCTCAGCCTCAGGAACACAGTCCTCCTACCCACCCTGACCACAGCCCTCCCACTTCCTGTCTGTGCAGATCCATGTCAGCTCAGCTCTGCATAATGGTCCACTGCAGGACTCTCACCTCTGCTGTCATGTGTGGCCAGCACACAGCACGTGGCTCTGCACCTCCTAGATGCTTGGACATTACAGAAAATAAAATTCATCCTTATGACGAACAAATAGTGAAAAATTAGTTTTGACAAATGATTACATTATTTCTCAAAAGTCATTTTTAAAAACAACTTGAGCCTAAAAGAAGCCAATCTGAGCAGGCTGTGCACTATGAGATTTCAACCCTATGACATTCTGGAAGAGGCAAAATTATGGAAACAGTGAAAAGATCAGTGGTTACCAGAAGTTAGGAGGAAAGAAAGGATGAGTAGGTGGAGCACAGAGGATTTTTAGGGGACAGTTAAATGATTCTGTATTATACGAAGGAGGGGGATATATGTCACATAGATTTATTAAAATCCAAGGAACGTCAACACTTGGAGTAAACTGTATTGGACTCTGGGTGATAGTCATGTGTCATTGTAGGTTCATCAATTGTAACAAACATGCCACTCTGATAAAGGCTGTTGACAGTGGGGGAGGGTACTGTGCTCCTTGCGTAGGGAGTATACTGGATTTTTCTGTACTCCCTGCTCAATTTTCTTACAAACATAAAACTGCCCCAAAAAATAAAATTCATTAATTAAAAAACAGTTTTGAACATATGCAATACAGAATGCTCATGCTTTCTAGAAATATCCAACCCTGATGCCTTGTTTATCTTTTCCCATTAAATATTTTATTTCACAATTCTTAAGACAGTTCTCTTTATTGTAGAAAATGTTAAATGTGTCTCTTAAGTAATTTCTTATTAAAATGTGGAATGAGAAAGTAAAATTTTCAAACATGCCAGAATTTATCTTTGAGTATAAATGGGCCCTCTACTTTAGGAAAAAACATGAAGTGTGTAGAAATTATGCCATTCAAACCCAAAAGCGGGAGAATGCACCATGAGAAAGCTCATACATATGGCATTAGACAAGCTCTGTGGACCTTTGCTTCCTCCAGGTGAGAGTCCAATGCAGACCAACCTGGCATTTCTGCAATATTAGCTCAGGAGTGATGTGGTTATAGGAAAGCAGGCCAGGTTGCCTAGGCGTCTAGTCCGCTTCTGACCCTGGATTCCACAATGTCATACAGGAATCATTGCAAGAACACGTGACAAGTCTTGACACCTGCAAGAGCTCAGCCCAGCCTGGGTCCCCCCACTTCCCAGAATGCCCTCTTCCTCCTCCCAGCTGTGCTTCTTCAAAGCCCCAGCTCCAGTCCATTCTAGCTGCTCTGGTGCCTCTTCTTGCCTTGAGGACACATTCAGACACCTTCTCTGGCTTCTCTGATCTGCAGGCTCTCTTACAAACCCTTCATGCTGCTCCCCCGAGCCTTATGAACCCCTGTGATTATCCTCAGCTGGAAAAGGCTCTTCTTCATTGCAAAACCCTGGACAACTAACTCACAATCTATGAGCCACAATTAGCCAGTTTGAGAAACTAGAAGATTACAGAGATGCCCACTGAGGTTTCTTCTATTTCCATGAGCTTAGCAGGTGCTCATGCAATCATTATTGACAGACTTAAGGCCACAAGGAGGAGGAAAATGACAACTTCCTTTGTGGAGACACTGAATCAATTCTGAACATGGCAAAAAAAAAAAATGGCTTTAACAATGACGGTAACAAATCTGACTGCTAATCCTTTTGTGTGAAACAAGAGCCATCTGCCTATTTTGGTCCATTAAGCTCTACATCTTCTTCATTGGTTGGCCCTTCTACCTACTTTAAATTTGTCACTGCCTTCCAATGCTACAGAATGGAATGGCAGTCTAATAGGGAAGGTGAGGTGGCAGTTTAAATGACAGTCATGCTTGGGTTTCCTTGAAAGAAAATTGTAAAAATTAACTAAAAATTAACTTTCTGTTTCTAACATCATTTTAAGTACATTAGCAGCTGTAACACAGAATGGCAAAATAAATACAAATTCAGGTACCAAGGAATGTTTAATTCATTTAAAATCCATTAATTAGTCTGACTGTGAAATGTCAAAAATAATTATGTCTTCAAACACGGGCTGAATTCAATATGCCAGAGAAGCATTCAAGAATCAGAAAGAAGTTTGATTCAAATTTTACCCACGCATGGTCCCCCATGCTGAAATCATTTATGGCCATCCTAGTGTGCACTTAGATAGGTAATGCTTTGTCTTTGATGGTATTTTCACTGTTCTTAATATATTCCAAATTAGAAATTAGGACTTCCTTTTTTAAAAGACTATACAAAGTCCCCAGCTGTCAGTCCACTGGGGTTTCCTTTACCTCAATCATGTCCCACTTTCTCCTTCCATTCTTCTCTCTTTTTTTTTTTTTTTTTTGTCTTGGAATATTAACCCCTCCTTTGATTCAGTGAAATGTTTGTATTAATTTTTAAAAAGAGATGAGTGAGCCATAAAAACKAATCCTGTCCCTAAACTACCAATTTGCACTTGTGAACCAGCTCTTTGTACATTGGGAAGTGGTCTCCCAATGGCATGCAGGAGACCCAACCTCAGCCTGCACTGAACCAGAGGAGGAGGACTGTCATGCGTGAGGCACCTGCCCTGAGCAAGGGTCCATGGGGGTCACCTGTGTTCACTGTCATGTTTTATTAAATCCTCTCAATACTCTTTGAAGCCCATTTTGTTCAAGGCTGAAACAGACTTGGCAGCCTGACCTGAGTTGATCAGCTAGCAGGAGGTGCTGAACTCAGCCTGGCAGGTCTCAGAGCACCTGCTCCTTCATTGTACGCTTCCCCTGGCATCACTTACTACAAGGGTCAGTGTGATTCTGTGCCTGGGGCCACCTGGAGACAATGAAGGAAGCCTTGCCAGACATAATGCTGCATCATGATCAGCAGTCCCTTGCTGCCTGATGCAGCAGTCTTGTAGGCCAGGGGCCCACACACAGGCCTCATCCCTGTGGACCGTGGTGCCTGGCGTAAGGTGGCACTCACTCACTCACTCACCTACCTAGTCCTCTAAACACATCACTCTGGTGTCTACTGTATCTATGTCAGCATTTTTTCTAGACCCTGGAGAGATACAACAGTGGCCATGCAGGCACACCTCCCTAGTACTCAGGTTTCACCTGACATGCTCCGCATTCCAGGGATRAGTCGCCCAAGGGCTCATCCTCTCCTCCCGCCCTCACTCCCACCCCCATCACCATATTTGAGCTTCTTCCTAGTATGTTTTTAAAATTGAATTTGGCATGTAGGTTCCTGCCTAAGACTTGCTTCTCCTCCTTTCTATTCTCAGGTGCATGCTATTCTGCAGACCTGGCCCCTAGCTTCAGCCACCCACACCCAACAGTGAATCCACCCTGGGGCCAGGGGCTCTTCCCATCTGATGGAGGATTTTGCCCTCCCTGGGTAAGCCAGAYCCTTTTCTCTATGATGTCCTCCCAGCCCCACAGTTTACTCAGTTGTACAAAATGGTCCCAGAGCACACAGACAGCCCATCTACTCTCTCTAATGGTTGAACATTCCTATATGAACAGACTGCTCACTTGGGAATGCTTAGGAACCAAGAGATGAGTCCATAAGGGCCCCTGGCATTTATTCACTCACTCATTCATTTAACAAGCATGAAATATCAGCATCTTATGCTCTATTTCCCATAGGCCAAGTTTATTACCATCAGGCACAACCCTTATGATTAGAGAAGAGATGAATTCAGAACAGCACATATGATCATGGCCATAATTGGGAAATCAAGCCCTGAGATTGGAATTCAGGTAGGGCCACCTAACACCTGATGGGGTGGGTCCAGAAGAGCTTTCCAGAGGACATAATAATCTAAAAATAGTAGTACAATAGATTCCAATAGTAATCTAAATAAAAGCAATAATCTAATAATAAAACAGAAAATGTAAGAGAGTGAGRGTATGGAATCAAATGAACTGAGGTGAAGCAGGGAGCTAAAGGTGTAAGGTGAGCCATGGTGGAACTCCATGCAGCAGTAGATTAAGGCCTGCTCAGTCCTCCTTTCACTCTTCTCTGGTCTGATCAGACCCACCCTCTGCTCCCCCATTTCTCTTCCCTGACCCTCCTCTTCATCTCTCTTACCTAGTCTCTCAGGGTCCTTGTTAACTCAGAGTTAACTTAGAGTCCTTTACCCCAGTCTGGGAGACTAGGACATAGGAAGGCAGCAGCATGTGTGTTCAAGTAGAATTACTGTGAACATTGGTGGTCCATTCCACAATTCAGATATGCACCAAAACTTAATGCCTACACATTAGAGAAAGCCCTAAAATAATTACCCTATAATGCAGCTCACAGTACTTACTCTCCATCAAGAGTATCATTTAAAGGAAATGTGTAGCTAARAATGCATCAAGTATGACCTTACTAGATGAATTAATTTAATAATAACATAACCATTCATGATGGCTGGGTACTATGTTGAATATCATGGAGATGCAGGATTTAAAAAGAAACTGGTCCTGCTGTCAGTGAGGCTACAGACTCCTGCAGAAAAGGAGGTATCAGAAATGAAAATGTAGGCAATAAGTGCCAGGGCTAGAGGAAATTCAGGTCACTACATGGACCCTTCAGCATACACTAGGGGACTGTAGAGTCCATACCAGGCACTGCAGACACACAAATGTTATGACACAGTTGCGGCCTGCAGGAAAGGTGACTCTAGAACAGTGGGTAGATGTAAGAAATAAGAGCATGGGGCTGGGGATGTGGCTCAAGCAGTAGCGCGCTYGCCTGGCATGYGTGCGGCCCGGGTTCGATCCTCAGCACCACATACMAACAAAGATGTTGTGTCCRCCAAAAACTAAAAAATAAATATTAAAATTCAGRAAAAAAAGAAATAAGAGCATGAAGAGTTGCCTTTGATAAATGTCTCCTTAAATATCTGGCCAGCAAAGGAGGCAGGGGCTGTCCTCCTGAACAAGATGCCCCCAGCTCTAGGACACAGAGCACAGCTTGAGTTTAGGTGGAAGAGACAGGGAAGCATACTCCGTGAGCAAGGACCCAGAGACCAGAAAGCCCACACAGTATTAGGAAGACATCGTCCAATTTGACTGGAGCACACAGGTTGGAGAGGCTGGACCAGACCCCTCCAGGTCTTGAGTCTCRAAGTCAGGCTAAGAAGGTTATTCTTTGTCCTAAAAGAAATTCATGGGAAATCTGTGTATCTCTCTGACAGCCCAGCTCTCAAAACTGGCACAGMGGCATTATCAGGCACATCTTACATAATCAGCCCACCTGCAAAGATAATGAGCACACGCAAAACCACCATCTTCACTTTCTGCAGCATCTCAATGGCTTCAGAGGGCTTCTCCAGCTGCTGCAACACTCGACACATCTCAACAACTCTTAAGAAAAAAAAAAAGATAATGGCATTTAAGGATAAAAATCTGCAACACATGAGCATTGTTATTGTGTAGTAGTAGGCTGGGCCGTACACACATACAAATCGTCCCCTATACCGAATCACAGATACTGTATAAGAACACAAGGAAAGCTCAGATAACAGTCTATACCTCCAGAAAACCGTTTTCTACTTGTATGGTTCTCTTAAAATGAAAAGGTAAGTGATTAAAGGGTCTCAAGACACAATGGCAGCCTCTGTGACCACATGGATGCATCTGGAAGACGGTTATGTTAAGTGAGGAAAGTCAGGGACAGAAAGACAAATATCCCATGTTATCATTCATATGTAGAGTATAAAAAAGTTGTCCCCATAGAAGTTCAGAGCAGAATAGTTCSCGGAGGCTGGAAAGAGACCAGGTAGGGATGTGGGGAGGATGTTCCTAGGGTAGTAAGAGTACGAAGCTCTGGTTTTCTATGGTAAAGCAGGACAACTTCAGATAACAATAGTCCATTGTTTATATCCAAATAGCTAGAAGAGAGGATTTTGAATGTTCTTACCACAAAGAAATGGTAAGTGTTTGAAGAGGTACATATGCTAATTACTCTGATTTGATTGTTATAAAATACATACAAATATTAAAATATCACATGTACAGCCTAAGTATGCACAACTAATATACATCAATCAAAAAGTAAAATACTAAGTCTTAAAAACATGATAGCATATAGAGCTATGGTTTAAATTCCCTCTCTGGCAAACTGAAAAGAAAAAAAAAACTTGAGACAAAGCTGAGATGAAGGAGAACAGGGTTGTCAAGACCACCTCCAGCTCAAAAGAAAATTCCAAGCAAACATTGAAGTCACACACAGTACAGTTTTGRATCAGAAGCAAAGAGGAGATGAGCCAGGGATATCTGGAAGCCAGCATTCAGGTTTTGAGGTACTGATAGTTCTTTTGCCCAAGGGATACCTGTTTCATGAGCTAAGGACATCCTTCCAAGCTATAAAAAATTATTGGATTTGAGAGACAGTTTCACAGCAACAGAACTCAAAGAAAAYAGCTCAGTATGTCTGGTGAGAAATGAACAAGGGTTCATACTGTATCTCTAATCTCCATGTGGGGCTGAGAGAAAGGCAGAGACAAGATGGGACAATGGACTCTCTGAAAAGCCTCCTCACATTCAGGAAGGGCAGATACAGAAAATGCAGCACCTCTGGGGCTCTGCACACCAAGAGAAGCAAGTTGTCCCACCTAAGGCAGCAGAYTGTTTCCAGAGTACAGCAGCTAATAGGACTGGAACTCTTAAGAACAGGTTTTCTTTGACCCAACATTTAGGAGTGGAAGGGCTTAGAGGTGATCAATCATTTAGAGTTAGATTGAACCTAAAGAAAGCAGAAGCCAACAGCTGCCTGGAGCATTCCTGTGGTTGGTTAAAACTACAACTGCAATGTTCTGTGTGATGTGGTTGACATATTCTTGGGCTAAATATCCAATAGTAGGACCCTTGTTTGATAGAGTATGTGCACAGCAAAAAAAAAAAAAAAAATGTTGATGTGCCAAGTAAATAGAATACAATGATTTTGCTTTTGAAAATAATTTACTTCTGAAAACTTTTTGAGGGAAACCAAATCATCTGAATGCCAAATAATGAAAAGACTGGATGGACTCAAATCACTCCATGGTAGAAGCCAACTTCAGAGCGTGATGAAAGTCAAAGGTCACTTACCCTGATTCACTCTTACTCCTAAAAAGCTACTGAAGWGAGGGGAGGGTGGGGGAAATGGGGTTAGGTGTTTGATTACCTTTCATCTGTCAGTGAGACTTTTTGCCAGTATTCAATCAACACAAATAATCTCCTCAGGTATTTCTTGAAACATGATAATGGTTTGAAGCCATAAGGAAAATCCATCCTATCTTGTTGGGGCCAGTCTTCGTGGGCCGACATGCCATTCTTTCCAATGGCTTCCTGAAGAAAAATCTCCAAGACTGGATGAAACACAGTTCTAATGGAATTTGCCCACCGGGAGTTGTTGGGGAGGAGCCCTTTCCYGGAGAGAGCTATTCTACTTAGCACAAACTGGGTTGCTTTCTCAAGTTGATGATGGGTTATATTCYCAATCAAAGACATATTGAAAGGTAAACTTTTACTTAAATAATCTCCATACTCACTTTCAATTCCACTGGAGGCCTGTACAACTCTTTCTATGGTTTTCAAAAGGTTATCTGGATGCTGAGCAAATGTCGGCAACAGCTTTAAAACATCCCAGTTATCCTTCTTCAAGCTACTCCAAAGAGTTTCTAAAGTAAAATTAACCGCCATTTTCCAGTAAATTCCTATTTCTGTGCTGCTTTCTGTTAACATTTTATCCAAGAAWAGAATCACTTCATGAATCCTTTCCTGCTCAGTATCTTGAGGGCTAGAATTTGGATTAAGCTGTAAAAAGTCCATTTGACTGGTAATGTTATTTATAGGAACTAAGCAATCCAGAATTTCTTCCCATAAATTGACAGAATCCCTAGAAAATACTTGAGACACATTTCTAAATGCCACCATAAGATGCTCCAAAGCCCCCAAATCAATTTTCGTAGAAGTTAAAAATTCAGCCATTTCTTCCAAAATACCAGAAAAGTCCTTGGATTGGTTCACATAGGACAGTATGATAGATGACATACTGAAAATATCAGAGTCTTGTGAAATATTAGGTTTGACCCCAATCATCCCAAAGGCCAAGTCAAGAAATGGCAGTAATGAATCATTTATCTTTTCAAATATAAAATGATCTACTTTTTTCAAAGTAGTTATTTTCTTCACAAGATGTTGAACACTTTGGTGCATGAAGGAATAGAGAGCGTCAAAGAATTTCATGGTGTCCTTGGTACTAGAGATGAAATGAGTGTCRAAAATCATGGCCATCTGCCCTGAAACTTTCTTAGCTACTTTGAGAAGTTTCACAGTGGAGTCCACTGATATGGCAAGATCTCTCAGCTCAGCACTGTCACTCAAAAGCATGGACAGAGTTCTAGACATTTCTAAGAGAGGTTCTAGGACATGACTGTTTTCAGAAGCTCTAGAAATAATACCAAGTAATCTCTTAGTAATTTCTAATGTTTCTCTGTTTCTTAGAAGATTTGAGTTAAGTATAAAGGAAAGCAAATCAGTTAAGTTAGAAAGTATAACTTCTTGGAGAGTAGGACATAAGGTATGGAAGTCCTTATTTAGAGAGTTTAAAAGAGTATCCATAAGATTGGCTATCTCTGTGGAACTTTCTCTCATGAGATGGAGAACTGACCCGAGATTTTGGTTAAGTTTGAAGAGCTCCTCAGTACTATTTATATGGAAAAGCAACTGACTCACCACTGTAAGGAAATCATCTTCAGACTTATTTTTCATTGAGGTTTCCCTTACAAAGKCATGCAACAAATCTTTTATGAATTTCAGTCCTTGATGGTTATCAAAATAAAGTTCTCCATTGTCTAATATAAATGAGCTTCTGATTAAGTGATGTATAGTCTCCTTTAAACTTGAGAAAAAATCCATCAATTTGTCTTCATTCTTCAAGGTAAGATATTGATCCAATTTCAGAACTTCTAGAATTTTATCTTTTGGAAAAAAACTGTGAATATATATATACATATATATTTTAATTTCATATTTAATACATTAGCAATAAAATGACTTAAATATATAGTGACTATTATTTTATTTGTTTTAKAATAAAATAAAGTCATGAAATTATACCATTGAATGAAAGATGATATGAAAATAACTCCATATCACAATTAATATTTTTGTTGTCAAATAATGAAGAGTGAAGGGATTTCATGAAGAATTCTATTACAATTCCTCRAACCTAACAATTTAAAAAGCCACTTATTTTTGTATTTAGAAAAGAGGCAAAATGATTACAAAGTGGTTCTGAAGAAGTAGAAAGCCTATTTATATTTTTCTGAATTTTAAAAAAATAATAGGAGGTCACTTGAACACTGATGATTTTGCAATCCATCAACCAGACTTGGCTAGACAATAGGCCCAGAATGCCCTTTTTTGTATGTCTCTGAGCTTAATGGTCCCCAAGAAAGAGTCCCTCCTGTATTGAAGGATATACAGGAGTCAGAGGCCATTTTGTAGCACAAATATGCCTCCTACCAGCTATTCAATCCAACACTAATCTAGTGTTGGAAAACAGATTTGGCAGATGTGATTTAAATCCCTACTCAGTTAATTTCAAAGTAGCCAGAAGAGTCATTATCCTAGGTGGGCCTGATATAATCAGCTAGAAGGTTGGTTGTAAAAGAGTGCGGGTCTTGCCTTACCTAAAGACTCCGACCACCGCAGCTGGATAGGCACTTGGTCTCTCCTGCCCCTGRGTCTTCCTCTTGACCACCACTTGGGGCCACAAGCTTGATTTCATGACTCTAGTGTTCTAGCTAGCTATGACATTTCCCCCTTGACAGCCTTCCCTAGTGATTTTGAACTTGCTTATCCAGTGCCCAAATTTATATAAGCCCATTCTTTCAATTCARTCTTTGCTGGTTCCATGGTTACAGTCAGGACTGTAACAAAATGGAATAAACTGTAATTTCCCTCCAACATTTTACTAATAACCTTCAAAGAGATTTTTTTTAAATACATGGAAAAAGTAATGTGACTATTGATTTTAGTGCTTCCAAATGTAAACAACACACTAGATGAACTGGGATAAAAATATATAAACCCTGTATGTGTGATGGGTTAATACAGTTAATACAGCAATTCAAATTATGGCCCTCCTATATGTGAATATTCATCCATAAAAATTAATTTTCAGTTCCATATAAAATGGAATTTCAGGCCACATGGGGTGGCTCACGCCTATAATCCTAGCAGCTCAGGGGGCGGTGGCAGGAAGATCATGAGTTCAAAGTCAGCCTCAACAATTTAGTGAGGCACTCTATGCAACTCAAAGAGACCCTGTCTCTAATAAAATACAAAATAAGGTTAGGGGTGTAGCTCAGTGGTCAAGTGCCCCTGAATTCAATCCACAGTACCCCCAAAATAAATTAATTAATTAAATAGTATTCAATAATTGTTTTTATCATCTAAAAAATAGAAAAAAATATATATGACTACTTATCACAGGATAGGCCTAAATGCTTACTATTTAAGTAGCAATAACCAAAATTATTTTACTTTGATATTTTGATAAAATTATTATGAAGACACATTCACTTTAAACATCATTCAAAATTTTTAGTGTACAATTGCTGTTTATTAGCATTTCTGTACTCCAGAAAAGAAAGTGGTTTAAGATGTACTGCACTTGAATGAACTATGTACAAAGCAAAAATACAAACCAAACCACTCACCTCATCTCTGCAATAGCATCTTGGTGGAAGTCTTTTAGCAAAAGAGATATTTTGTTCTCAGAATTTCCCTTCAGTAAAGGGGAAAAGAATGTTCTCAAAAACTGTTCTATGAAATCCACTGTGCTCCTTGAAGGGAGAATGGTTTTCCCACTACTGTCCGATGGCATGTGGTTCAAGGTGAGGTTAATTAAATTCATTATTTGAAGGTCAGCGTCACTTAAATTTGGGGCCGCTTCTTGAGACCTCCCAGCTAAGTTACTGACGGAATTAATCAGAATGCTTTCAAGAAGCAACTGAACAACCGAGAAATTGGTTAGCTGGTCTTGATTTAGCAGATGAGTAAGAAAGTCAACGTCAAAATCACCTTCTCCAGAAATGTTTTTCAGATAATGCAAATAGTTAGTCATATCTTTAGTTATATCATCAGTTGAACTCTCGATGGTCACAGGAACAAATAATGTTGGTGTCAATTTGGAGTAATCTTTATTTTCAATTTCATGAAGCCAGTTTTTTGTGTCCAACAGAAAATCTTSAATAATTTCTAATATCCCCAATGATGAGGAATCCAGGCTTTCCAGAAAGTGGGAAAGTTGTAAAACTAAGCTTTGAAGGGCCATGGAGTTAATACTTTGGATTTCCTTTTTAATTATAGAGAACAGGTGCCTAATACTAAAGTCATGGGTTAGGTCTTTCATGGTTTGTTTAAAATCAAGCCATAGTTCTTCAAGGTTGTAAATAGCTTCACTATTTTTAATAAAACTTGTTAATGCTTCTAAACCACTACCCATGAGACTTGCATTCAGAAGAATTGTGAGTGGAAGGAGTGAATAAGGCCTGTTATCTTCTAGACTCCAATCCCCAGAAATCAACTTGATCATCCTTTCCAAATTTAAGGAAATATTATTTYGGACAAATGCCTCTGTTCCCTCAGTCATGTTAAAAATCTTATTTACACCAGCCAGTTTGTTAAGAATGTTTTCCCCAGAAGCAGCTTTTGTAAAATTGACACGTTTTAGCTTTTCTATGATTTGCAAAGCAACTTGCTTTATGGGACCACCAGGACAATGTCCAGCAATGCTGTCATTACTTTGATTTCCAGAAAGTGAGACAAAGGGTAACACCTTATGCCAAAATTCTTGCACAGTTTTCATGAGAGAGGTTTTAGCATGAAAGACTTCGGACAGTGCTATAAGGATGGAATTCCAGTCTGCTAATTCATGAATCACACAAATCATTTTCCTACTCATTTCCATTCGTGAAYTTTCATTTGAACATTGTGAATCTTCACGTGGGGGAGACAGGTGGAGATGGTCAAGTATTGTGGCCACTTGGTGATAAAAGGAAGAAGAAGACATAATCCCATGGACTTCACAGGCTTCCAATTTTGGATTCTGCTGAAATCCAGAAGTTGTATGATTCCAGCACCAAACCACAGGAAGGCAGTTTAAARCCTCTGAGACAATGGCTGGTTGGTCTGATATTACTGTGATTGTATGCAGAAGAGCTTTTATCGCACCAGCAAAGTCCTTCTTGGTGATGTTTGAAATGCTTATGCCGTGAAGGAGTGTGAAGTTATAGACATCCTTGAGGGCCTCTGTGATGTTTTTGTCAGYCACTCTCTGCAGGAGACTCACAACATGAGGAAGAGCATAATACAGGTCCACCACTGTGTTCACATCATCCTTGGGAAACAGGCGAGAGAGCTTGAGCAGATGATTGACATTCCAAGCATGGGAGCTGTCTGCAAATTTCTGCATCAAGCCAAAAAGCAAGTTGACCCCTGAATTGCTGGTATCTAATCTACTGAGATTCTTGAAGAAATCCCCAAGGCTTTCACTAATGTGTTCAAGSTGATCTACTAAAAGGTCTATGTCTGCCTTCTTGAGAGTATGCATGAGAGAAGCCACCTTCTTTAAAACTTGAGCACGACCTGAATTTTGTGGGATATTGTGAGAAACAGTGGGCACTAAGGAATTGAACACATTCTTCATCAACTGAATAACAAGATCCACAACTCTCATTAGTTCATGTGAAATTGTTTCTGGTGGGTTTTGAAGATCATGAGATAAGTTGAAGAAGGCAAGGTAACTAGCTAAATGATAAATTGAATTGCCTAAACTCTTTATATCATTTTCCTTTGGACTGGTAGCAAATATGTTAAAATATTTTTCAGTTTCAGAAGAGGAATTATTTTCCAGGATATTAGAGAAAATATCTTTTACAAGTTTCTGAATTTCCTTCCCTAGTGCTATGAAATGCAGCCAAAGATTTTGAAACTGGTTAGGAATTTCCTGTGACATTTCTGTGGGTCTTAAAACTAATTCATTAAAATACTTCCAGTTGGATTGGGAAACAAAATCAAAGTCTCTTGTTAAGTTGTTTATAATCATCCTTACTTGGTTTGTGGAATCATTCAAAAGAGCTAATAAAATCTCAAATTTTGGTACCTTCCCATTTTCAAAGACTGTATTAAGTACAATATTTAGAAAGTCAGTTATGTCTTTCAAGTAAATATTTACACAGCTTATGTTGGACTCACCCAAGGAACAAAGCGGTTTCTTTATATGTAWCAGCCAAGTTACCATTTTCAATGTAGAGTTCATTTTGTTGTCCATATCTTTGAAACKCCCCAAAATACTGTGAAGATAACCTTGTGAAAAACTTGAATTATACATTACATACAAACGGTTGATGGCATCTATCCATGCCATGCATCCTCTCAGTTTGCTAACTGTGTTCTCAGAGGAGAATGTGCAATTTAACATGTCCAGAATACGTACCATCCGCTGAGAGCTATTTACATGAAATAAGCCTTCTTCTAAAATCAACTCAGTTACATTTTGGAAAACATCAGCACAGGACAATAAATCTTGATCATGGGACACATTTCTAAGAAATAATATTGTTTCTCTTAGCTCAGTGATGACACTTTGAAATTTGTTATTTCCGTGATCTGTGAGATTATTTAAAAGAAAATGACTTATCAGGTCTACGTTACTACCCACATATTCTGAGGTCTGGCTTAACTCAATGAAAACCTCCAGCAGAGAATATAAAAACTCTCTGCTTGTGTTTGTGTTCAATGGAAGTGTCTCTAGCTGGTGCAGAGTAGTTTCCATGGTGAAAAGGGTTTTCTCTACTTGGTCCAAGGTAAGTGATTTTACTGCAACTAATGCATCACCTAATGCTACCCAGAGATCCCTGAGATCCAGCAAGTCATGCCAATCCTGAAAATTATCAGCTTGAGTCACACTTTTAAACAAATTTATTATGAGTCTAGCTGCATGGTGGGTGGGAAAGACTCCCTGGCAGCTTTCAGAAATTTTCATATCATTTTCCAATTCATCCAAAAGCTGAGTGAGCCCTACATGAAGAGAAGTGAAGATATTCAGGTCAAACTTAAGTATTTGAGATATGCTTCCCCAGRTTTCAGTCCACATTTGAAGCCATGAAATGGTACAGTGAACGGCCAGAAACTCATTCAACACACTGACATTTGCTGAGAGGTCTGAAAAAATTTGTGACCATGGAAGACTAAATGAAGATCCCTTATCTGTTAAATAATTCATAGAGGAAATGGTTTCGTTATCCAAAACAAAACATTCACCACCCAACAGGGCTTCTACTGAACCATTGAAGAGCTGACTGACATATTGAAATAAAGACATGCGAAAACCTTCATCTGCTATGAGCAGCTGTTTGAGGCCTGTCAAGGTAGCATGGATCACTTCCAATTCTTGGCCCTCTGTAGACATCAGGGATTGAGCTTGAAGCTCCAAAAAGTTAAAAACTGAAAACAACTGCTGACAATAAGATACTTCAGAAATTCCYCCAAGAATCTCTGCAGTCTCAGATAAAAATTCAAATGCTCTGCTGATGTTTTGGAAATTAAATTGCTTTATGATGTTCAAAATATGTCTTGAGATTTGGGTAAGGTACATTAGCAGAGAATCTCTACTCCGTAGGCTCAAGAATTTATAAATATATTGGTAGAAGGAAGAATAAATTTGCAGAAGTGAAGCTGAATCCTTGTCTTTGAAGACATTTAGGTATATGTGTGTCAAAATGTTATCAACTTCTTGTTTTTGAGGWTCAGAGAGGGCTGAGAAAATATCAGATGCATTCTTTACAACATAGACTGTGTCCAGAGCTTCTGAGACTTGTTCCTGCCTAAGTAATCCAAACTCATAGAGACAATTCATCACAGTTTCACTTAAATGTACAAAATCTATGTTTACTGCTGGTGATTCTGACCAATTTGAATGGGATAAATGGGAAAAGTTTATGCTTTTACTAAAAATTTTCTCATTTTCTGGAACAGAAAAATTTAAACGTGAAGAAAAATTTTCCAGTTTAGCCTTTTCTCCTTTAGAAATGTCACGCAGCCATAATTCTAGAAGTTTGGGGTTAATTTCAAGCAGTATTAATTCCATGAATCTCAAAATATTTTCAGGTTGGTTCTTCATCCAGTGACTTCCACCAGTTTGCAGTTTTTCAATCACCTCTTTCCCAAATTCTAAAAGCTCCTGAGCTTCAAAAGCAGGTGGGTCTGTCTCTAAATTCCACAAAACACTTCTATTTAGATCTTCCTTATTGAGAGATGAGTTGTGGAATTTGGGAACCCTGAAGGAGTTGAAAGGATTAGGTAGTAATAATTTCTCCCAAAATTCCACAAATGATAAAAGAAAGTTCATCTGTTCATCCTCAGAGGCATGAAACTTCTTTTCTATCACCAGAAGGTGCTTTGTGCAGTTTAAGGCCCTACAACATTAATAGAATTGTTTTAGTATCAGAAAGAAAAAAAATTATTCAATATATCAAATTTCTAAGGTACTGGTCACAGTAAACCTAAGTGAAATATTTACTAGACAATACATTTTCCAGTAGACATAAAAACCAATGTGATCATTTGAAAATGTTTTATAATTCCACAACACAGTTGYATATCTTTAGGTTTAAATGTTTCCTACAATCAAAAAGAATGTGTGCTAAAATTTTTCTTCTGTRAATTCATAGGTAAAGGATATTCATTGTTAAAGAAAACATTGCTGTTTATTTCAGAAGAATCTTAGGATTCATTTTCTCGTTTCATCTCAAAATGTCTTGGGCTATCAAGGTAGTTCAAATACTGAGACACATCAGAAATGGTGCCTGTATGATTTAAGGAAAACTTTTGGGATTCCTTGTGCTAGGAGGCAATTCCAATTCTCTTTTATGTTAGATGGGGTACTTCCTCTCCAGGTTTTTATTTTTAAAATACAAAGAGTTCTCAGAAAAGCGAATCAGAGTTTGTGAGATGTGCACTCTTGCAGAACTAACTTAAAACTCAGAAGTCACAGCCACTTTGGAAATCCATGAATGACCTGACTTTAGATCTGAATGATCTAAAGTCAGATCATTAAGACTTTAGAAAGGTTATGTGATATGAGTATTTGATAAGTGTCTACACCGCATTGGCTCAGGCAGCCCTGACACCAACATGTTGATACCTCTGCAGTGACACCTGTGAAAGATATCACCATGTTGGGTCACCAGACCTGAAACAATTGCACATGGTTCAGGTGGTATCCCTGCTGTGTGTTCTATGATGCCAGCCATAAGAACAGCTTTTATTGCCAGACTTCAAATGAGTTCAGAATTATGGATAAAAAATTTCAGACTTTATTGGATATTAATGCCTAGATAGGTAAATTCCTCTCTAACTTCTTTAACACTCCATGCTCTGGCATAGGGTACTATAGAGAAGATCAAATACAGGAATGTTATTGTCCTCTCTAATATCTAAGATCAGAGCACTATATATCTAGTGCATTATATATGTGCATATATGTATGTATACATACATACATGTACATGTGCGCACACATGTTTAATATATATATACAGGTGTGTATACATATATATACAACACACATATACATACACATATGTATATATGCCTAATTGTGGTGTCAATTGTTGTTTGTAAAATAGAGTGGCTATTTTGAAAAAAAAAATTCCCCATCAGTACCAGTAATAACATTACCACATTTGTTCATATCATTTACAGTTAATGAAGCACTTTCACAAGGATAATCTTATTTCTTTCCTACAACAGCCTTTTGAAGTACACATCATTATTTCTATTTCATAGAAAAAGAAATATTTCAAAAACTTTTTAATTTAATCATACTGTTAGTACATAGCATGAACAGGACATGGCCCAAGTTTTCAGATTTTGAATTCAGTTTTGTATGCTAGGCAAGCACTCTACCACTGAGCCACACCCGCACACATACCCTTGAATTTAACTTTCTACATTAATTGCACTTAATTTGCAATGTGTTTTTTGTTGTTGGTTATTAGATCAATATCTAATTATCTAGCCTCTTTCACAAAAGACACTGTACTGATTGTAATGGGTATAAAAATGAATATCATCGGAACACATCTAGACTACTTTTATTGTCCTCTTTTGTTTTAGTCATCTTTTTTGCTACTGTGACTAAGGATCCCAACAGAACATTTTATTTGGCAGTTCACGGTTTCAGAGATCTTAGTCCATAGAAGGCTGGCTCCATTTCTTGGGTCTTGAGACGAGGCTGAACACCATGGTGGAGTGTGTGGCAGAGGGAAGCAGCCTTTCCAGATATAAAATATATATCCCATAGCCACGTCCTCAATTAACCATTCCTCCAGCCACATCCCACCTGCCTCCAGTCACCAATTAATCCCATCCTGGGTTAATTCACTGATTAGGCTAAGACTCTTACAACTGAATMATTTCTCCTCTGAACCTTCTTACATTGTCTCACACCTGAGCTTTTGGGGGACACCACACATCAATCCATAATGGCTTTCTACTGCTTTGAAATATTTGAGACTTTCAGTAAAGTGGGAAATTATGAACTTGACATCAGCATCAGGGCTGACTTTTCAGAGTCCATTACATTGTCCCTGCCCCTCCCCCMTTTTTGTGTGCTGATAACTGGGCTTAGAAAGTCTCACCATGGTGGTGAACCTCAGGTCTATAGAGGTATAGCCAAATTGTCCTCCAATTTTGGTGTATATCAAAATCATCTGTGGAATTTGATAAAGATGCAGAAGCCTGCACCCTACACACAGGGCAAGATTTTGGTAYAAGGTATAACACTTGTATTCTTAGCAAGCTTCACAGGTAAGTTCGAAAACCACTCTCAAGAGTTTCTGTCCCATTAAGTTCCAACGCAGCCCACAAAGAATAAAACATGCTTTTAAACTGGACACAACATCTGTAATTATATAGAAAAAAATCCCTATCTCAAAATCTATGTTGAAATAGCAAAGCAGCAAACAATCTGTTATATTTCTTTCCAAAGATCACTTCCACTCCCTAGAGTCTCCAGAACTATCAGCACCTAAATCATTGATCCCATGTCTAAAYGCTAATCTAAACTCTAAAAAATGAGACAATTTTTCAAAGAAATACTTGAGATATCTGTTATGAATCACATAACCATTAATGAAAATTGAACTGGTTTAATCTGTATTTCCTTTCAAAATACATGTTAYAATGTAGATATGGGGTATCCCCCAAAGCTCATGTGTGAGAAAATGCAAGAAAGTTCAAAGGTGCAATGATTGGGTTCTGAGAGTCTTAACCTAACACATGCATTGATTCCCTGATAAAGATTAATTGAATGTAACTGTAGGAAGGTATGGTATGGTTGGAGGAGGTGGTCACTGAGTGCATGCCTTTGGGTTTTATATTTTGTCTGTGATAAAGGGAGTCTCTATCTATCTATCTATCTATCTATCTATCTATCTATCTCTATCTCTATCTCTCTCCCTTTCTCCCTTTCTCCCTCCCTCCCTCCCTCTCTCTGTGCTTCCTAGGGTCATGTTCTGTGTCACTTTCCTCAATCACACTCTTCCACCATGATGGCTCTGAGGATAGAGCAAACCATCTATGGACTGATACCTCTGAAATCATGAGTGCCAAATAGAATTTTTCCTTCTCTAAAATTGTTTTTTTTTTTGAGGTCTTTTGGTCACAGCAGCAAGATAGCTGACTAAAATACCATGAAAACTTGAGTCATTTGGTCTATAAATAAATATTTATTAAGCACCTAATAAATACTGTGTCRATATCAAGCTCATAAACATTAAAGAATGCATGTCCTATAATTAGGTCTTGTTTATCTTCAGATGATAGTTAAATTAAGACCTGGAAGTTGAATTCCAATAACTTACCTGGATATGGAAGTTTTTGGAGAAGTCAATAAKTCATTCAAAAATGCAAAATAATTATCACTGATGATTTTCCAATCCATGTTTTCTGCRTAACAGGGAGATTTCTCAGAGAAAGCTAAAAAATGATATAAAATGTCATACACAAATCTAGGCAAGTGAAATGTTTTAGTTCACCTAATATTATTAAAATGGGAAAAAGATGGATTGGAAATTTGTGATTTGATTTCTGCTTTCATCCAAGGTGAATTATCACAAGCCACTGATAATGTAGAACACTGACTCATAAAAGACAGAAAACAAGGTGAAACCTAGCTGGTTGACTTAGGAGAGGGTCCAATTCCTGGAACAAGAAGGGAGAAGTGAGATGGACCTCAGTGGACATGCTGAGCTTACAAGATGAAGCTTAGCGTCTGAAGACAGGTAAAGTACACAACACAGAGAACAAGTGAGGGCTGTAAAAAGCAAGAATGTCACCACATGCTTCCTTCCAGTATTCAGCTGAAAACAAATTAATCCATACATGTGAGGGAACTACTKGAGACCAGGTAGTTTAATCCCCAAATGATTAAAGATAGCAGTCTTTGGTCATCACACAAGACAAGCAATATACTCTATTTCCATTAGCCAACTGGAACAATTTACAATTTGTTAGTCAGTGAGCAGAGTRTATATAAGGGTTTTGCATCAGTAGTGGATAATATTCCCAACCAGACTTGAGTACATTGCCAGTCCTGCCTAAGAAATCTTAAAAGTAAGACTCTAGGGCTCCGAGTGTATTTCAGTGGAAGAGCTCTTGCCTCACATGTACTGAATTCAATCCCCAGTACTGRGAAAAACAGAAAAACCCTAAAGGACTAAACTGTTTTCAGTAATTTGTCTCAAAAATGTTTACACAAATAGAAAAACACAGCACAAAATAAGGTTAAAAACTTGCAATTTTGGCATCCAATCAATAATTACCAGGCATGCAAAGAAGAAGGGAATTATGACCCATACTTAGGGGAAAAAAATTAATCAAACTGACAGATGGTGGAAGTAGCAAGGAACATTAATCACATTAAATGATTAATGTTATTTAATGTGTGCTATATAATTTACTCAGCTCAGTGAAAAGGAAAAACTTGTCAGTTCAGATAAAATCAGACCTGCCTTCATGCTATACATAAGAAATGTGCTTGAGACATGAAGTCATAAATGAAAAGGATGGAAAAGTTATACCACCCTAACACTAAGCAAAAAGTTATCAAAGTAGATTAGATGATAATATCACTTCATGGTGATAAAGACATCCACTGTTCAAGAAGATAGAGCAATTCTAATATAAGGAGACTGACTCATAGTGGGGTAGGGAGGGAGGGGGAACATGGGAAGAATAGAAGATTTCTAGACAGGGAAGAGGGGTGGGAGGGAAARGCAGGGGGAGAGGATTAGCAAGGATGGTGGAATGTGATGGACATCATTATCCAAAATACATGTATGAAGACATGAATTGGGTGTCAACATACTTTATATACAAACAGAGATATGAAAATATTGTGCTATATAAGTGTAATAAGAATTATAATACAAAAAATAAACAAGTACAAGTATAAAGACATGAGTTGACGTGAACATACTTTATATGCAAAGATATGAAAAATTGTGCTCTATATGTGTATATACACTGTTTTGTATTTAAAAAAGTAAAATCAAATAAAAAAGAAGAGTAATTCTAAATACATATGCACATTACAACAGAATTTCAGAATGAAATAAAAACTAATATAAATACAAGGGAAAATAGGCTAATATACATTATATTCAGAGATTTTGGTACCCCACAAAATAAAACATTAGTAAGTATATAGAAAATTTGTACAATACTATCACAATTTGATCTACTTTATATATATAGAACATTCTACATATTCTTCTCAAGTGCACATGGAGCATTTACCAAAGTAGATTATATTCTAAACCATAAAATAAACCTCAATAAATTCAACAGAATTAAACATACAAAGAGGGTTCACTTACCAAAATGAAATTAAATTAGAAATCAATATGTCTGACAAAGGGTTTGTAACTTAAATATATGACGAACTTTCAAACTCAGTAAATATAGAAACAAACAACTTGATTTAAAAATTTTTTTAGATGTTGATGGACCTTTATTTTATTCATTTATTTATATGTGGTGCTGAGAATCAAACCCAGTGCCTCACACATGCTCTACCACTGAGCCACAACCCCATTTCCAAATAACTTGATTTTAAAAGTAGGGAAAAGATTGGAACACACAATTCATAAAGATAGACATGCAGATGCATATAAGCACATCAAAGATAAATGTTTAAAATCATAAATCAAAAATGCAACTTAAATCCATAATCCATAATATGCATTTAATAAAATGACTAAAATTAAAAAGACTGCACATAACAAGTGTTGGAGAAATGTGTAGTATGAGAATGCTCATATACTGCTGACAGTAATGTAAAATTATAAAACAACTTTGAAAAAAATAGCTTGTTGGGGTTTTTATTTTTTTAAGTTAAACATACACCTTCCATGTAATCCAGTTATTTTATTGCTAAAGACAATATATCATATTTTCAGTCAAACATACACAAATGTTCAAAGCAACTTAATTTGAAATAGCCAGAAATGCTACATAATCCAATTATGAATTACTGGCATGGACAAACTATGATACATCCTTTCATCTGAAAAGTAATCAGTGAATGACCACACTAGGCATGGATGAATCTCAAATCATCAATGCTCATCAATTATGCTACATGAAACAGGACAGAAAAAGTACATATTGCATAATTCCATTTGCAAAATTTTCTAGAAAATTAAAACTATGGTGACAGAAAGCAGAGCAGTGATTGCCTGGGAACAGAGGAGGGGCTTGAATTGATAGTCAGAGGGGAACACAAAGAATGGGAGGTAGCTTTGGGTAGTGATGAGTCTCATTGATATATTCAATATATTCATATTTAAATACTTACCAGGTTGTATACTTTAAATATGTATGTTTTATTGAATGTCTACTATATTTCAATAAAACWTTTTTTGTGGGGAGGTACTGGGGATTGTACTCAGGGGCATTCGACTACTGAGCCACATCCCCAACCCTTTTTTGCATTTTATTTRGAGACAGGGTCTCACTGAGWTGCTTAGTGCCTGGCTTTTGCTGAGGCTGGCTTTGAACTTGAGATCCTCCTGCCTAGCCTCCTGAGCTACTGGGATTACAGGCATACRCCTATTTCAATAAAATTTTTAAGACAAAAATCCTTCTAATTTGAGGCAAATAATTTAACCTCTGTGGTCTTTATTTCACAAGTAAAATTGCATAAAACTTGCACCCATTGTACCTCACTAATTTTCCATGGAAACAGAAAGGCTATGTGTCAGAAATTTTGTAAGCATTTATAGCGGGGGTGGGGGGGAGATGAAAATAATTTAGAAAATTAGCACAATAGGTATGTGAGTAACATCTGATAAGGATGAGTACTAGAAAAAGAAAAAAAAGCAGTATTCAAAAAATTTTTTAAACAAAAGAAGAAAAGAAAATCCTCATAGCAAATTTTCTGTTACTTGCAATTCATCATAATTTTGACATTCATTGCACTGAGGAAGGAAAGGGAGCTACATCCATCATACATGACTACAGTACTATGCTGGGCATTTTACATACACTATCATGTTTAGCCTTCATAAAAACCAAGTAAAGTCAGTTATATAATTTGTATTTTACCAAGAATAAAAATGGTAAATGAGGGCCCACTCAAATAAAACCCATCAGATGCAACGTTTGATCTCAAGTCCACCTGCTCTCAAAATCCATGCCAAAATACCAAACTGAGACCATGTTTTAGCTGCATGATAAAACTACACTCAGAAAATTTAAATACCTACATTAKAACATTTAATTCATCTCTATCATACCACATTCTTAGGATGCACTGTTGTTTGTTTTCTTTTCTTTTTAAAGGAAAAAATGGATACAGGAAAGATGAATGCATAACAACAGGATTGTTCTACTGTTATTCATGTTGTTTTGTAGTTATTTAGTGCATCTTAAACTTTCATATGCTTATAAGTCATCTGGGCATCTTCTTAAAATGCATATTCTGTATGTTGGAGAAGAGAGAGCCTTTTTAACAAATGATGCTGGGGAAACTGAATATCCCTATGTGGAAGAAGGAGACTAGATCCCTATGTCTCACYCTGCACAAAAGTCAAATCAAAGTGAATCAAAGGCTCRGGGATTATAGACTAGAAGCCTTGCAACTGCTATAAAAAATAGGGCCAACACTCTCTCATATTGGTGTGGACACAGACTAAAAAAGACCTTTAAGCTCAAGAAATAAAACCAAGAATCAATAAGTTAGAGAACATCAAGAATAAGTGACCACCAGCAAAAATAAGTGATATAAAAGGAAGACAAGGGTAAGAGAGARAGTGAAGGTGTAGGATGATTCCCCCACCCAGAACTTGTGGCCAACAAAGCACTGTGAAAAAAACTACTGAGCTTCTTAAAGTGGTAAACAAAAGGACCCATCCTCTGGCATGTAGATTTGATATTGCATTGAATCCATATAGTGCATATGACCATTTAACTCCAGAAGCCTCTAAGAGCAGCAACTTGAAGAGGAATGAAGGAAAGAGCACAAGGTGGCCATGCCACAAGAGCAGAAAAGGTAAATACCCATTGCTAGTTCCAAGCCCTCCATATTCCATATGCAGGCATTCCAAGGAGGAACTAACAACCCCAACSAGATGAAGCAGGGTCAGGACATACCAGGAAAGTGGGAGATGTGGAAACAGACAACCAGCCCTAGAGCAGAAAGACAGAGTCAGAAGTACACATTTCACTTGGGTTTTGACTTGGGTTCAAAAAAGCATATGTGGCAGGAGGTGGGAAGACCTTGTGAGTCATGCAGTGGAGTTTATAAATTTTAAGGAATTTTTTACTTTWTGATACTAGCAAGGAGAAGAAACCTATGATACAATAAGAAATACATATATTTGGTCACTGCTTTTGTTTCCTTGGCACAGAACTCCAAAATCCTCAAAGAGATAAGTGTCTTTTAAATACTAATAAGATAGCTGGGGGTCTTGTGCCTGAGCCAGTATGTTGGAGTGTTGACCCTATATTTTCTTCTAATAGTTGACATGTTTCTAGTCTAACTCCTACATCTTTGATCCGCTTTGAGTTGATTTTTGCACAGGATGAGAGATACRGATCCAGTTTTTCATATATATAAATATATGTTTTTTCATATATTTGTCAAGGGTCAGACACTATATTTATGTGTATTTTTTTCTGTCTTCTGTTCTATTTCATTGGTTTTCATGTCTGTTTTTATGCCAATACCATTTTGATTTTGATTTTGTTTTATAGTTCTGAAGTATAATTTGAGACCAGGTATTGGGATGCCACCAACAGCATTTGATTTGGCTATTCTAGGTCTTTTATTCCTCC